AAAAAAATCATGCACATTTTTTTATATAAGTCTTTTCTAAAAGGCTCAAAAATCATCGAAGAAAAAGAAATTTCAAGAATCGCCTCGGAAAATTAGGAAAATGCGCTCCACTGCAAATAAAAGTTCAAATTCTACAGAAAAAAAAAAATCACATGCATGGCTATATATATTCAAAAAAAGCATCAGTGAGCCGGATTTATGAAAACCAAAAATTAAAAAAATTAAAAAAAGGTCTCCAAAAAAATAAAGCTTATACGCTCTATTGTGAATGGAAATTCGAATTAAAAAGTCACGAACTCCGATTTTTTTGATTTGAAACCTCGAAAAAAATTGGGAAAAACGCGCGCCAGGGCGAATAAATATAGAATTTTTTTCGAAAAATCATGTACATTTGTTTAGGAGATGCTCTTCTAAAAAAAGCTCAAGAATCATCAAAAAAACAATGAATTTTTTTAAAAAAACGGTCTCGAAAAAAAATTAGTAATGTGCGCTCCAATGCGAATAAAATTTCGATTTTCAAAAAAAAAGTTAGATTATTTTGATCATGAGATACTTCCAAAAGGCTCAAAATCTAGTTTCGCATTTTCGATTTGAAACTTCAAATAATTAAGAAAATGCGCTCCACTGAGAATACATAATCTCTCTCAAAAAGACCCGAAAATCATCATAAAACCGAAAAAAAAAAAAAACAGCCCTTGAAAATAAAGTTTTTACGCTCTTCTGCGGTAAAAAAAGGTATTGAAAAAAATAACTAGTTCCGAATTTTCGATTTGAAAAAATGGCCTCTGAAAATTAGGAATATGCACTGCGAATAATAATTCGAACACTTTAGAAAAAAAGAAGGTTTTTTTATATGAGAATCTCTCCTAAAACGCTAGAAAACTCATCAGAGATCCCAAGTTTGAAAAAAAATAAAAAAACGGCCACGAAAAAAATAAAGCTAATACGCTCTACTGCGAAAAAAATGCGAGTTGAAAAAAATAGCCTCGAAGAATTAGGAATATGCGCTCCACTGCGAATAAAAAAATTTCGAATTTTAAAAAAAGTAAAAAAACAATGAAGATCCTGATGATACTATCACTCAAATAGGCAACAGAAAAATTTTGAAATCCATAATCAAAAAAGTTGCTTGTAAATTAAAATTCATACGGTTTACTTGCTGATAAAAACGATTCAATTTAAAAAAAAAACTGAAAAAAAATAAAATCCATTAGAAGCAAAGAAAGAAGCTTGGGACAAAAATAGAAAATGTTGAAGGGGCTCTTTTCAGAGAGTAAACGTGGAAAAAGACGGGGGGAAGGGGGAGGAAATAACAAACATTTATTTGGAGAGCCGCCCGGTCAGATCTCTTGCCTTTGAAGGGACATCTGAGCCTTTTTCAGACTCCAGGAAGTCATTTGCGACTTGGATTTTTCTACAAATTTGCTCAAACACTATTTGAGGTCTAGATGAAGATCCCTCATAGTGGCTATAGTTAATGTTTCCCGACTTGAAAGGCGAGGGAGGCGGGGCAAGGGGCGGGACGCGTAGCGTGTGCGTTCGCGGTTCTTGGCACGTGTTCAATTCAATTGCCGCCGACTATTTAAAAAGCTCGGCGAAGGCTCTTTTTCAAAGTTTTCTACTATTTTTTGATGCACACATGAACATAATCAATAAATAATTGAAAAAAGAATGAAAAAGGCGAAAAACGGGCTTTTCAAAGAGTCGATGGCGGTTGAATTGAACGCGTGCCAAGGACCGCGAACGCACACGTTACGCGTCCCGCCCCTTGCCCGCCTCCCTCGCCTTTCAAGTCGGGAAACATTGACTATACCTGCCCAATCTTCTAATTTTTGAGATAATAATTTTTGAAGTTCGCAACTTTGAGTTGGACGCGTTCGACGAGTTGGAGGTCAACGGGATCACCCGAATCTGGAAGCTGTGGTTATTTTCCAAGCACAGAAAGACCAAATGCATCGATTGAGCATATGAAATTTCACTATCCAGTGGGTTCTTCCTGCCGAAAAACCGCAAAATCCAAAAAAATGCGTTTCCGATGAAAAAACCTTCAAAAAAAGTTTGAACACAAAAAATTTTCCGCTTGCCTTTCGTTTAAAAAAAGTTTCTTTCGATTTGGACGACGGAGAAAAAAGTTACATTTTTATGGTATTGTCCCTACCGTAATCCTAAAAAGGGGCGGAGCCTCTCAAAAACCTTTTTAAAAACTTTCAGGACCTTAAGGTCCTCCTATTGCTGGGCTGGTGAAGCTCCATTCAAAAAAAGTTAAAGTATTTAAAAATCACCAAATTTCTGAGCTTTGCTGACTAGGAGAAAAAAAGAAACTCAAAAAAAGGATTTTTGATGAATTTTGCGCGGCTAAAATATCCCTTTTGCAGTGAAAAACTCAACACAAATTCAAAATTGGATATTCAAAAATGACGGAAAAAGGTGAAATCAAATTAGAGTCAAAAATGAAACAAAAAATGTGGAGATCCAGCTTCCCGCTGTTTTTCCACCTGCTCTTACTCATGTTTCAAAGACTTTTTTGGAGTTGAATTGAAGTTTTCAAAGTTTTAAACTATGTAGAAATGGATGGAGCACAGAAAATCTTAAAAAAAGCTAAAAAAACAAAGAGATTGATTTTTAAAAAAATGACCTGAAATCTACGGTTCCCCATGTTTCAGAAGGGTTGGTTGGTTTTACAAAAATTTAGCATTTTATTAAATATTATACCAATTGCCGGAAATCCCTAGTTATAATCTTATTTCAAAAAATTTCACTAATGAGCAACAAAAAAAAATTTTTTGTCGAAAGTCTCTCAAAATAACATAAAATAGTGAATTTCATCACTTTGAACGGTATATTTCGTTCCATCTTCAAAACTTACTCCTTTTTTCCAAGAAAAAGAATTGGCAAAAAAAATTTACCGAAAAGGAAACGAACCAGCGTCATTGGTTTCACAGCGCAGACCGCTAGCCACTACACCACGCCACCTTCAAGCAACGGAAGTTAGACGCCGCGAGATATTCCCTCCTTCCATCCAATGCATTTTTCTCGTAAGATTTTCGAGACGCCATAACTCGACTAGAACCAAAAAGGCGTACTTTTATTCAACTTTATTGGAATGAGGGTGTCCGAAAGTACCTATATACCAAGCCTCATCAAATTCTCAACCTTTTGCACTCCCGGACTTAATTTGAAATCTCAAAAACTTGAGAAAAACAGATAAAAGTTGAGAATGTGAAACACAAATGTGATCTAGGTTGATGATTTTCGGACTTTTTCACGACTTTTTCTCGAAAACACAGTTTTGTGAAGTAATGCCCTTGGCAGAGGCCAGAGACGCAGGGGAAGACCGCCTCCTACCTATAAAAGGCAGGGACGATCTTCAGCTGGGTCGAAATCCTCCCGGCCTGAGGTCAATCCCTCGATCCTATTTTGACTATATGATATTTTCTAATGGAGACTAATGAATCTTTATTAATATAGTCTATTTATTCGGACCACATCGAAACTACCGATGGAGTCTCGGCATGGCCAAGCCGAGGACTCACAGTTTCAAAAAAGGTTCGAAAAATAGTTCAAAGGCCTTATTTTTTTCATAACTTTTCTTAGCTCAAACTTCTTATTTTTTTGTTGAAAAATGAGCTTATTGATAAGATAACCTATCATATTTTCTTCAAAAACCTTGGAAAAAAGGTTTTTTTCTCGAAAAAAAGCTTCAAAACCCGGTCGAAAATCGGTTCAAAGGCCCTATTTTCTTTCAAAACTTGTCATAAATCTACCTACTCTTTTTATTGTTGCGAATATGTTTGCTTGTAAGATAATCTATCAGATTTCTGGGAATTTCAAGCGAAAAAAACCGGAAAAAAACGGCTTTTTTCAAAGATTCACTCAATATTTTCCGACCTAGCCTCATGTAAAACTTCAAAAAATCCCCCTGAAACCTTCATTTCAACTCAAAAACTTGTCAAAACTCCACCAATTCTTTTTATTCTTAGAAATTGAACAAATTGACGAGAAAAACTATCATATTTTCTTCAAAAACCTTGGAAAAAAGGACTTTTTCTCGAAAAAAAGCTTCAAAACCCGGTCGAAAATCGGTTCAAAGGCCCTATTTTCTTTCAAAACTTGTCATAAATCTACCTACTCCTTTTTAATTGCTAAAAATGAGCAATTTCATTATATAACCTATCAATTTTCTCAAAATTTCTACTGAAAAACCCCATATTTTAAAAAATAAGCCACTTTTTCCCGACAAAAAGCTTCAAAATGGTTCGAAAAGAAGGTTTCAAAGACCTATATCTTCTTGAAAACTTAGCAGAGCTTTGTATATTTAGAAAATTCACTGATTGATGAGATAATCTATCATATTTTCGTGAAGATAAACCGAAAAACGGTTTTTTTCTAAGCTTCACTCACTATTTTCCGACCTAGCCTCAATTAAAGCTTCAAAAAATCCCCATGAATACTCCATTTTCCACTCAGAATCTTGTCATAACTCCACCTACTCTTTTTATTGTTGCTTAGTTGTTTGCTAATAAGATAATCTATCAGATTTCTGGGAATTTCAAACGAAAAACCGGAAAAAACGGCTTTTTTCAACATTTCAGCCATTATTTTCCGACCTAGCCTCATGTAAAGCTTCAAAAAATCTCCCTGAAATCTCCTTTTCCACTGAAACTACTCATAACTCCACCAACTCTTTTTATTTTCAGAAACTGAACAAACTGACAAGAAAAACCGTCAATTTTCTTTAAAACCCTTGAAAAAACGGTTTTTTTCAACATTTCAGCCATCATTTTCCGACCTAGCCTCATGTAAAGCTTTAAAAAATCACCCTAAAACCTTCATTTTCCACTCAGAATCTTGTCAAAACTTCGTTCCCTAATTTACAATCTAAAAATGAAGCTAATTGATAAGAAAACCCATCAATTTCTTCAGAATCCCCTCGGAAAAAAAGACGTCCGCCAGCCAAATTAGCCACACTTTAACGATGTCCGTGCTTTCTTTTCCGTTGGATGACCCGATTTTCGGGGGGAACCTATCTCTGGGCCTCCGAAAACCGCTACGTACCGCTGTTCTATGCACTCTCTGTCCAAGGTCTCCAGGTCGACCAGTCAAAAGCTTCTTTCATTTTCTTTCGGTTTTGTTATCGGCCTATTTTTTTCGTGCTTTTCAACGCTCAAGTGGGTTTTTTTTCTTTGTAAACTATTTTTTTTAAAGATCTGATAAAATTATAAAATTATAAGCTTTTTGTATAAAATTTCTGAAGACACAATTTTTTTTAACGCAAAATGTAGACCTTTCAAAGAAGGTCCTTTCACTATTTCAACGGATTTTGAGAGTTTTTTCGACTTTGACGGGTAGTTTCTCGGAAAATAGGAAGTTGGGCCAGGTTGGGACTTTCAGAATCTCAACCTGGTACATCCAGAAGTACTAGAAAATCCCAACCGTGGGGACTTTTTTAAAATTTTCAAAATTCGGCTTAATATCTATCTTTACAGTTTCTATCAACTTTCATATCAAAACATTTTTTTGAATTTTTTTGAGTTTGGCGAATATGAGGGTGGCTTAATTTTTGTACTAAAATGATTAATAAATCGTCGAAAATATCAAAATTTCCCAAAAAAATCTTTTTTTCAATATTCAAAACAAAAGATGAATGAAAAAAACCCAATGAAATATTAATTTTTGCAGGGATCCGACTACCAAGCGCCGATAGAAAAGGAACAAAAAATCCATCGGCAATTCCAAGCAAACAGCGCTGAATACACAGAGGACTCAAAACACGAATTTTCGGCATTTCAATTTCACGGAAATTCTTCGAGTCATGGTTTGTTAATTACTTTGAGGTGAAACGGGCAAGTCACTTTGAGAGAGCCGAAATGGGAATGTGGAGTCTTTCTACTTTGCGGTTGGGAGTCCCCTGAAAAATGGCCAGAACACTTCTTGATGTACCAGAAGAAGATTTTGCAAGTCCCAACCTGGCCCAACTTCCTAGTTTTTTTGAGAAAGACGCCTCAAAACCCATGAAAATAGTTTATTTTTATGGATTTTGAGGCGTCTTTTCTCAAAAAATAGGAAGTTGTGCCAGGTTGGGACTTGCAGGATCTCTTTCTGGTACTTCAAGAAGTGTTCTGGCAAATTTTCGGGAAATTCCCAACCCCAAAGTGAAATGACCTTCCTCGTGGGAAGCTCGAAAATGGCTCAAAAGTTTTTTTTTTCTACGTCCTTAAATTCATAATGAAAGTGAAAAATTTGCAAAAGTGATATAAAAATATCTTTTTTTCGGAAAAAAAAAACTTAAGGAGCTTTTTACTTTGGCCCAAAAAATCGAAAAAAATTAGGAAAAAAGAGAAAATTTGGACAAAAATCGAAGGTTATTAAAGGCGCAGGTCTTGAAAATTCGAACCAAAATGGTTTTCGCTTTGAAACCTTCACGAATTTCATGCGCTTTTAAAATTTTCCAGAGTAAACTTAATATTTTTCGAACCCGACCTTCTTTCTCGAAAATTCTCGATTTATATCACATTTGTGTTTCACTTAAACTTGATAAAATGCACGGTTCCGATATAATTATTGGGGTGAGATACAAAAGTCGGTTAATTGAACTCAGAAACGCCAGAGGGATCCCTATAGGGACAGGGGCTTGAAGGTTCCCCTCTAGGGACCACTTATCATTATATGAATACCACGGAAGGTTTGAAAAGTGGCCATTATAGGGGTTTTAGAAAGATTTTCTTTCCTAAAAAAACAATAAAATAACGTTTTTTTGGAATGCAAGCATATCAACAGAGAACAAATCGATAAAAATTTTAAATTTCGAAGAAAAAAAAAATTTTTTAAAACCCCTATAGGGACCACTTAAGCTCTAGATTCTAAGGGGTCAGAACCTAAATCCCTATAGGGACCACCAAAATTTTTTGAGCATATTTTTGACCAGACGATTTTTTTTCGATCTGATATTGAAATGAATAATTTGAAAAATAAGTTTTAATAAGATTTTGGACCATTTTTTAATGGAAAACGAGAAAAAAAAATGGAAATGGATTTTTTGTGAATTTTTAGTACCTTTTTTGGGAAGAGCCAAACCTTGGTCGAATAAGTATCACTTGAAATTGAAAAAAATCGGGACATTTCAATATCCTCGATCATACGAGGCTGGGCAATCGCAAAAAAATTCGAAAAAGTTAAAAAAACATAACTAAAAAAATTTGGTTATTTTTCTCAAAAAAATTCCGGTCCAATAATAAAAAAATAAAGAGCAGAATCTTTTTTTCCAGAAAAAAACAAAATGTATTTTTATAATAATCACCCCAAATTTATTGATTAATTGTAACTAGGTAAGTCCCAATTGACCTTTAAACGGGTTTCCTGTTTCAAAATAATTTCAAAAAAACGATGACATTTTTCAAAGTGTTGTGCAGTAGAAGAACTCCTGAAAAATCGAAAATTCAAAATTTACTGATTTTTTGCAAGTATTTTTTGGCCTTTAAACGGGTTTCCTGTTTCAGAATAATTTTTAAAAAACAAAACCATTTCAAAAATGTTAGGCAAAATGGCATCTTTCAACTGAAAAATCCAGAGAAATTGATAAAATTCGCAAAAATTCACCACAAAAAAAGAAGAACATTGAACAATTCGTGAAATGTCCAAAAAAATAGCTTTGAAACAGGAAAAAGCGACAAAAAATCTGACAAACGAGAGAATGTGTGAAGAGAAGAGACTTAGACATTTTTCCTTTGCATCCCTCGTCCTCTCCTAATTCGACACACTCTCTCGCTAAAATCTCTTGATTTTCCAAGAGTGGAAAAAAAAATCGATAATTTTTTTCTTTTACTGTCTCTAACCTCCGCATTCTACACACTATCTCATCGAACCAAAAAAAAAAATCAATAAATACTGAAAAGAAGAAAATTTCCCATTATTCTTAAAACCATCCAAATTTGACGCTTCAAATCTTTACACTAAAAAACGCCAAAGTGGTCCCTAGAGGGACCTGGGAAAAAGTTCCTGTAGTGGACAAAATGGTCCCTTCGCCCCTAAACTTAAAGTAGTCCCTATAGGGTTTTTTGAAAATTTTTGTCATTTAATTGTTGGCGAAAAATACGTGAAGCATGCTACCCTATAGGGGCCACTTTTGCAAGATTTAGTGACCCCTTAAGGGGAGATTAAGGAGATCCCGTCTAGGGACCACTTTTTTGGAGCATTTTTCCGAAAATTTATCGATTTTCAAGGGAAATGGGACGAATTCCAGGGGACAACACGGTCGCGGACGCGGTTTTCCATAAAGTGCGGATCTTTTGCTGGATTCTGACGGGCAAGCAAAATCACAAGATTCGCGCCAGACACGTCAAAGCCACCTGGGCCAGGAGATGCAATAAGTTTCCACTTTTTTCCACTCAAAAATGGACATTTCAATAATTTTAGGTACCTATTCATGTCCTCGGAAACGGACGAAACCTTGCCCTCCTTGAATTTGAACATTTCCGAGGGACGCGAATTTCTGTGGTCGAAAACGAAAGGGGCCTTCCGATATCTCTACGACCATCATTTGGTTCGTTTTACTGTTTCACGAAATTGATAAATTCATAGTTTAATTCGAAAAATCTGTTACAAGGTACACCCTCAGTTATCTATTACCTCTGAAAAAGTTTCAAAAAGAGAAAGTTAGAAAAACCGTGCGTTCTTTGCATCTAAGCCCCGCCCATAAAACTGTACGATAACTTGAAAAATACAAGTTTTCGTAAAAAAAAAAGTTGAAATTTCTCACATAGAATTCCATTGATCGGCACATCAAAAAAAAGCTGAAATAAAAAAAAAATAAAAAAAGAAAAAAAGTTACATAGAAAGTTTCAAAATAAGTCTGAATAAGCTCCGAAAAAAATAGCCAGAACGTCACAAAAGCATTTTTCCAATCTCATAAACCCCTTTTAATACAGTAATGTGACCTAGTTCATCTACTTCCTCTGTAGAAAAAACCGTGCCGCACTTTGCGGGTAAGCCCCGCCCATAAAACTGTGCGATGACTTGAAAACGCGATTTTTCGTGTTTCTTTTTTTCTTTTCGTGAAAAAAAGATAGACTTATTCAAAAATGTCTTCAAATCTAGGATTCTGAAATAAAACTTTTTTTCAGACTGACTACGATTGGTTTCTAAAGGCGGACGACGACACCTACGTCGTTATGGAAAATTTGAGGTCGGTTTCTTTTTTCTTCTTTTTTGAAATCTTCTTTCAGGCTTCTGCTCCTATCTCATTCGCCAGAAGAACCAGTCCATTTTGGGTGCAAATTTAAGGCCTATACAAAGGCCGGGTATCACAGTGGCGGAGCCGGTTATGTCCTCAGCAGGGCCGCCTTGAGAAAGTTCGTTTTTTTCGAATATTTCATTTTTTGGACTACGTTCTGTGGTTTTCTGTGTACTTTATCTTAATATTTCCATTTCTGGGCACAGTTTTATGGGCGGAGCTTATTTGCAAAAGAGGCACGGTTTTTGGTTTCTGGAAAGTATGACCTGACTTCATTTTTGCCACTTTTTAGACTATCCTTAAAGATTTCTTTGTGAATCACCACGTCAATTGTATCTTAATTTTAAATTTCTGCAAGAAACGGCACAGTTTTATGGGCGGAGCTCATTTGCAAAAGGGGCACGGTTTTTTTTATTTCCAATTTTTCAAGCAGGAAGGTGTCTCCAGTCATATTAACGGCATTTGAAAAAATTTGAGCAAGTTCAAAGTTGAAAAAATGAAGAAATGGCACAATTTTATGGGCGGAGCTTATTTGCAAAAGGGGCACGGTTTTCGTAAAATTTTTATTTTAAAGCAGGAAGGTTAACCAAGCCATATTTACTACATATAAAAAAGGATTGAGCAGTTTCAAAGTTTTAAAAAAATGAAGAAATTGCGCAGTTTTATGGGCGGAGCTCATTTGCAAAAGGGGCACGGTTTTTGTAAAATTCCAACTTTTCAAAAAATTGACAAGTCATATTTACGATATTTGAGAAAGATTCGAGCAAGTTAAAAATTAAAAAAAGGAAGAAATGGCATAGTTTTATGGGCGGAGCATATTTGCAAAAGACGCACGGTTATTTTTAATTTCAATTTTTTTTCAGCAGAGACTAAATCAAGTCTAATACGACATTTGAAAAAAAGATTTGAACAAGTTGAATATTAAAAATTTTTTTAATGATTTTATTAAATTTGACCACCCTAGCCGCTCTGAGAAAGTCTCTTTTTAGTGATTTTCACATTTTCGTAATTATTTTTTTCATTCAGATTTGTGAATGAGGCCTTACCAAACGCCGCATTCTGCTCTCCGAATCCTGGCGGGGCGGAAGACGCCGAAATCGGGAAATGTTTGGAGAATGTCGGGGTGAAGGCGGGCGACTCGCGGGACGACGCTGGAATGCACAGGTTTTTTCTGGAATCTCATCTTTTTTCCCGGGGAAGTGATGGATAATGGCCGTTAGAAAAGAGAGGTTCAAAAAAGGCAGCAAAAAGGCGGCAAAAAGGTCTCTGAAAGGCCGCAAAAAGGCACTAAAAAGACTGTGAAAGGGCAGTAAAAAGGCATCAAAAAGGCAGCAAAAAAGGTGCAAAAGGCCACAGAAAGGCAGCAAAAAGACAGCAAAAAGGCTGCAAAAAGGCTGCGAAAAGGTAGCAAAAAGGCCGTAAAAAGAGTCCCTTTATCGAGCCATTTTCTCAAGAAATAGTGAAAGAGTGAGACAGCAAAAAGGGTGCATAACAGCTCACAAAATGGGGCAAAAATGGAACCTTTTAGGAGCCTTTTTGCACCCTTTCCGATGAATAAAATGTGTAAATCTACGTTTTAGATTCCCTTCAGTATGTGGAAAAAAAAAAATCAAATGGGATTTTTGAAAAAAGTAAAAAAATACCCAATCTTCCAGGTTCCTCCCCTTTGTACCGGCCCAACACGTCGGTGACGGAGAGGCCGATTCGAATTATTGGTTCTGGAAATTCATGTACTATCCGATGGATCAAGGGCCAACTTGCTGTTCTCGTAAGTCTTCAAATAAATATCAGAGAAATAAATAACGGTATAATCAGGGCTCCGAAACCCCATAGTGATCCTGAAGATCTCTCTGAAATTCCCTCTAGGGGCTACTTATACTCGCTTGTACAATTAACCACTCTAGGGGTGCTAGTGGATTTACATGGCTTTTAAAATTTAGAATCAGAGAAAAAAATTACAATAATTGTATAATCAAGGCTTAGAAACGCCAGAGGGGCCCCATACAGTGGCGACCTGAAGATCTTTCTAAAATTCCCTCTAGGGGCCACTAAAACTTGCTTGTAGAAGTGACCACTCTAATGGTGCATTCTAGGGGATCCTACACGACTTTTTAACTTCAAAATCAGAAAAAAAAATTGAGATACCACTATAGGGACCACTTGACTTCTAGGAGCTCAGATCCCATAGGGACCACCTAAAATTTACCCCTCTAGGGATCACTATTTTGTCCCCTATAGGGGCTGTTTTCTTCCCTAATCCCTCTAGGGGCCACTTTGGCGTTCCTAAGTTTGAAAATTTCTTCCAAAAGCTTCTTTTTCCCTTTTTTCAAAACCAATTGTTTCAAGTTTAAAAACACAGCATAAAAAAAGCTACAGTAACCAAATATTTCTCGGAAAAAGGTTTCGAATCGAAATTTTTTATCAGAAAAAGAGAAAAATCAATAATTTTTCGCCTGATTCTATCAAAAAAATCAATAAATCCTGGATCTTCGATTACAAAAAAAAAATCAATAATTTTCCAGAAATAGCGGGGAAGGAAGAAAGAAAAATCAATAACCTTTAAAATTTTGATGGCAGGAAAAGTGAAAAATCAATAAAACCTGGATTACAAAAAAAAATCAAAAAATCAATAATTTTTCCAGCCTACGCCATCGCTTTCCACTACGTGGACGCCAGTCTGATGTACATTTTGGAGTACCTTTTCTATCATTTGAAGCCGTATGGGATCGATCAAAAGCTTCTGGTGGACCGACATGAGACGGTTCTGAAAGCCGCTTATGAATTTTCCCTTTCTCAACGAGGCCGGGATGATTTTAAAGGGTCAGTGTAAACTGGAAGGTCTTTTTCCAAGCCTTGGCCGCGTTTGGAATGGCTCAAACTGTCGTGTTTGTTTTGAAAACGCGTCCGACCCAAAACGACTTGCGCCGGTCGTCATTCGGAATGGATGAAGCTCAAATATTCTTTTTTTAGCCGCTGAGCCATTCCAAATGCGACCAAAACTTTAAAAATAAAATTTTTCACAAAAAACTTCAAAAATCCTGAAAAACACAAGTAAAGCAGCATTCGTACTCCCTTCTTTCAAAGCAAAAATAATCATAGTTAACTTTTTATTTCATTTATTTTTATTCCTATCATTTTCAGGAACCAAACGAGCTGGATAACGTGAACGCTTTGAGCAACGGATCAATGGAAGAAACGGGCGACGAAAATCAATCGATGATAAATAGTCATGACGCATAAATTAGTCGATCAATAAATAAATTTGAAGCTTATTAATGGAATGATGGATATGTGGGCGGATGACGGAGTTCAATGGACAAAATGACGCCAGAGTAGTCCCTAGAGGGGCAGATTTCAGGGTTTCCCTACAGGGACCACTTAAACTTTCAGAGGTGGCCACTTAAGAGGGGAGGTTAGTGGTCCCTAGAGGCCTTTTTGACTGTCATATCAGAACAAAAATATGAAAAAAAAACCCTATAGGGACCACTTGAGTTTTAGGGGCTCAGGGGTCAGGCCTTGAGCCCCTATAGGGACCACTTAAATTTTCTCTCTATAGGGAGCACTATTTGGTCCATTATAGGGACTGCTATTTCTCTAACCCCTCTAGGGGCCACCTTATCGATCTCCTCCTCAAGGGAGCGCTAATAGTTTCAAAAGTGGCCACTTTAGGGATTTTAGTTAGTGACCACTCGAGGGGCAATCTGAATAAATAATTGAAAACTGCTTTAGGGACCACTTAAACTTTAGGGAACCTTTACAAGGGCCATCTGATGTTGACCCCTCTAGGGACCAATATTTCGGCCCCTGGTAAATTCCCTAACCCCTCTAGGGGCCACCTTATCGATCTCCTCCTCAAGGGAGCGCTAATAGTTTCAAAAGTGGCCACTTTAGGGATTTTAGTTAGTGACCACTCGAGGGGAAATCTGAAAAAACCCTATAGGGGCCACTTCGAGAACTTCTATAGGAACAATCTCAGTTTTACTCCTATAGGGAGCACTATAGGGGCTATTATCCACCCTGACCCCTCTAGGGACCACTCTGGCATTCCTAAGAAAGGGTTGAGACCCGAAAAAAAAAAGAAATCGGTTTCTAAGGATGGCAAGGACAATTGGAGCTATGAAAAATGTACAAATGTGGTCTAATTTCTTGGAAATCAACTGAAAGTATTGGGTCGGCTTGGCGTGAGTAGCAGCTTGTCGTAGCACATCTCGCAAAAGCTGAAAAAATCATTAGAGACTTTCAAGAACAGAATATTACAAAAGCGGCCCATCTTTTTGATCAGAGGCTTGATGAAATTTTTAGAATCTTAACTCGAAATTTTCACCAGAAAATTCTTTTCACTATAGTCAATGTTTCCCGACTTGAAAGGCGAAGGAGGCGGGGCAAGGGGCGGGACGCGTAGCGTGTGCGTTCGCGGTTCTTGAGACGCGTTCAATTCAACTGCCGCCAACTGTTTGAAAAGCCCTTTTTTCATTTCTTTTTCAATCATTTATTGATTATGTTCATGTGTGCATCAAAAATGGTAGAAAACATTGAAAAAGAGCGGTTGCCGAGCTTTTTGAATAGTCGGCGGCAATTGAATTGAACTCGGGCCAAGAACCGCGAACGCACACGCTACGCGTCCCGCCCCTTGCCCCGCCTCCCTCGCTTTTCAAACCGAGAAGGATTGACTACAGCATAGTTTCTGTTGAGTTTCAAGTGAAAAATGGCCCAAACAGTGATTTTTGTCGTAAAAAATGTCTGAGGTGAAGAAAATTTGGTTTTTGGGACAATCCTTTCATCAAAAAGCACGTGATTATTTCATTAAAAGGGTTCAAACATTTCGAAAAAATTCAATTGATCGAAACTTCATAAAAATTGACAGAATCTGTTTCGTGAATTATAATACTTGTGTGAGAAAAATAAAACATTTTGATTTGATTGATCTTTTCATAAACTGTTGTAGTCAATTTTGGCGACGCTCTCATTTCGACGTGCTATTTCCATTTTCTCTGACCGCTCCCACATGACGTCATTGGAACGGTAGGACGTGAATAAGCGGAACATTAAAGGCGCAGGCGTGGCCAGAGGTCTTTGAGACGAATTTTCCTGCGCGAAAGCGGCGCCGTGCATGCAGACGACACATGATACTTTACAGAGAAAAAGTGGGCCGTGGGGACAGAGAGACGCAGGTACTCAGAAATTTCGATTCGCGGCCATTTTCGCGTGCGGAGAGGTCGCGACGCGTTTCGGCGCCAATTTGAAAAATTTTTGCATTTTCTGTTGGAGAAATCAATTTTGCGCATCTACCACTTTTCAAAAAGGTTCTTCTTTCTTTTTTTTTTCGTTTTTCATAATTTCCATAAAAGGGACAGCTTTTGAATTGGCGCCAAAACGCGTCGCAACCGCACCGTTTCTCAAGAAATGCTCACCCATCAAGTCTCGGGGACTCGTCCAACCGCTGGGACAGGCAGAACTCATTTTTGAAGACGATCACGAAAGGCGACGCTTTTTCAATTTTCTGATCCATTATATAATTCCGAAACCGGCCCAGAGCGTCGAAAAACAGCTGAAAATGGATGAAATTATCATTTTCTGGGTCATTTCTCACATGTTGGGCTCTTTTCGACGGTTTCGGGGCAAGACCCCGAATCCCAAGTTCGTAGAATTCAACGGATCGAGGGACGGGGTTTGAGGTGTTCCTAAATATCCAATAATCCTCACTTCTCAGTTTCAGGTATTACTACAAAAAGCAGCCCAATTCGTCCCTCAAAACGACTTACGCCTCTCGAAAAGCTTTTTGGCCAGAAAAATACCATTTTTGTCTCAAAATGTGGAAAACGATTCAATATTTTTGAATGAAACCATGGTCGCATGAGGAATGGCTCAACTTCTCACTATTCATAAAATTTTATTTGCGCCCGACCTCAAAACGACTTACGCCTCACAAAAAGCGCTTGGCCATAAAATGATCGTTTTTCGTCCTCAATTCCGAAAAAAAGTTCAATATTTCCTGAATGGATCCATGGTCGCAGGGAGAATGGTTTAACGTGAAGCAATTATTAAAATTTTTGCGCCAGACCTCTGCGGCTTACAAAAAGCTTCTTGGTCATAAAATGATCATTTTTCGTTTCAATTTTGAAAAAAGGTTCAATATTCCCTGAATGGATCCATGGTCGCATGAGGAATGGCTCAACTCCTTACTATTCATAAGCTCGACCAAAAAATTGAGAGCCTCTGGCAAGTTTGATCCTGGCCAGTTCATACCCAAAAAAGTTAACAACAAGTCTGTGGCCGCAATTGGAATGGCTCTAAGCATAGAAGCTGAGAAAATTTTCTTGCGCCTGACTTCAAAACGACTTACGCCACACAAAAAGCGTCTTGGCCATAAAATGATCGTTTTTCGTCCTAAATTCCGAAAAAAAGTTCAAAATTTTTTGGAATGAGACCATGAGGAATGGCCTAACTCTCTGCGATTCATGAAATTCCTTTGCGCCCGACCTCAAAACGACTTGCGCCTTACAAAAAGTTTTTGGCCATAAAATGACCTTTCATTTTCTAAAATTTCGAGAAAAAAGGTTCAATATATTCTGAATGGATCCATGGTCGCAGGAAGAATGGCCTATTTCTCTACGATTCATGAAATTTCTTTGCGCCCGACCTCAAAACAACTTACGCCTCACAGAAAGCGCCTTGGCCGAAAAATTGAGAGCCTTTGGCGAATTTCATCGTTAAAAATTCACACAACAAGAAAAAGACGGCTTCTTCTACAATCTCAAGGTGAAATTTTGGAATTTTCGCCCTAAAAGCCCTAAATCACTAAATAACGTTACAATTTTCACAAAAAAGCCCTAAAAATTCAATTTTTTCACAAACTTCCGGCGAAAAATCAATGAATTTACACTCCAAGGACGGCGTCGTTGAGTTGGAAAGTGCGGACGGTCGGGAAAAGGAGCTCATTGGTCGTCGTTTCGACGACACATTTTTCGTGCTCCAAAATGTCTTTTTGCATCATTTCGTATAGAGTGTTGTACTCGTCGGAGGTGCTGGAAAATGTCGGAATTTTTCTTTTTTTCAATCAGTTCATTTTTTTCTAGCTTTAAATGGTCATTAACGTCAAAACTGATTGCAGAAAAAAATTTTTTTGAGATTTTTTTGACCCAGAATGGCTACATTTTACATTTTTTTCTCTTCCGTCATTTATTTTTTTATTTTTTTATTGTATTTATTTTTTTATTTTTTTATTATTATATCTTTTTTTATTTTTTTATTTATCCTTACCAATAAATGAACACATCCAGAAGCCTTGGATCAATATAAAAAAATTAAAAAAATTTACGGAAAAAAATTTTTTAAAAAAAACTCCTTTCCTTGTACAGCCATCTCCTCAATAAATTAGAAAATTTGAATTTTATTTTTTTGAAAAAAATATTTCAAGAATACTTTTTTGTGGAAACCGCATTAACTTCGACTAGAAAACTAGAATTTTTTTCGAAATATTTCCACTTTGGAACGTATGTTGATTGGGAATACATTTCTCCACCTTCACACGTTTTAAAATCTCACTCAAAAAAACTTTTTAATTTTAGAATTTTTCAAGAGCTCGTAAATGTGTTACAAGTCAGAGCCTCACAATGATTGTTTAAAAAAATAATATCCCCAATAAATTTTTTTCTTTGCTCTCAAAAAAATCTGACAAAACTTCAGGCGATTACAATCATTCATAAAAAAACTTATTTCTGGCCTCAAAAATCCAAAAAAAAATGTTTTTTTATAAAATTGATTGCGGTTCCAAGGTAGGAAAAAAATGAAAAATCGTTTCACAAGTCAAAAAAATATAAAAAGTTTTATTCCTCAAAATTCCCCGCGAGGGAAAACTCCAGAATCCTTCACCCCCTTGTCCGAACAAGCCCCCCACCTCCTCCCGCCCACAAAGACAAATTTCGATCCGAAGGGGGGCATAATCTTATTCTAGAATCGCCCCTCACATTGCGTGATAAGTGGAGGGACGATTGTAGAATGTGCCTAGGCTATTTTCATGAATCCCCCCTCTTTCTAGAATCGCCCCCCTCATTCTGAAATCGCTCCTCCATCATTCTAGAATCGATCCCTCCCCTCATTTCAGAATCGCCCCCACATCATTTAAAAATCGACCCCCTCCTCATGTTAGGATCGCTCCCTTTATCATCAAAAATCGACCCCCTCCTTATTCTAGAATCCCCCCCGCAGTTTTTTTCCAAATGAACCAATTCTTTGCCTAAGTTTCAAAAATATCAAGACTACTTTTTTTCGAGCCGTTTTTTTCAAAAATGAAACAAGGTCTAAGTCAAAAATTCAGTGTGCCTACATTTTCTCTACACTTATAGTAAGAAATTGATATCTGAGAAGAATTTTTGTCAAGTGACTATCCGGTCATTGAACAACTAGAAAATTTCTCGAAATATATTCGATTTGAAGCATATTTCAATGAGGAACTCATTTCTCAACTTTCACGTTTCAAAATGACTGGAAAGACATTTTTTTTAACGGTTCAATAATTTACAAGACCTCGTAACATTATTATTTCAAATGAAAACTTTTTTTGAATGGGCGCCATTTTTTTCTATTCTTTTTATCATTTTGCTGATCCAACCTTTTTCAATAATATGTTTCCTTGAAACCGCAATATTATTTATTTTTGTTTTTCCCTCAACATACAAAATTTTTCATCGTTTTTTTCACTTCTTCACCTTTTTTTTTTTTTATGACTTTTTCCGATCAGTTTTTTTCTTTTTATAAATAGGCAACTAATTTCTTTCACCCCATAACCAAAAAAGCAATCCACACTTATCCATCAATTCGCTCCTGTCTTCCAATTCCACCATACAGAGGCATAAATCTTCTCGGATTCCAGCCTGTTCGCAACTCCTTTTCTCCCACAAAATCGTCTGAATCAGGGAAAAAGAGTGAGCTTCGTGGTCCTCTTCAAGTTCGTCTGAAATCAAAAAAAAAATAATTTTCATGCCGAAAAAGAAACCAAAATCATCCTGATTGGGCTTCAACTTTCGGGCCGGAATTATTTCCGGAAACCGATTTTCGGCCAAATCTCTGAGCGTCAGGGCTACGTCGGCGTTTGTGGCCAATCTAAAATAAAAAAATTCAAAAAAAAAAATAAATAAATTGTCGTAGGATATAACGTTTTGGTGCATGCACTCGACGCCAATTTACACAATATCAAAAATTTTCGTGCTTCTCAAAAAAAAAATTGGAGTTTTCCCATTATCGCTTTTGAAAGAGAGCAAAAAAAAGGGGGAAAAGGTTTTTTTTTCGAATTTAAAGTCTGCAAGTAGTTAAGATATGGTTACTGATACCATCTGGCGCAAGCCGTTTTGGGTCGGCTGCAAGTCATTTTTGTAAAAGTAACGTTAAGGCCTTGCTTTCCAACCAACTTAAAAAGGAAATTTTCCATTGAAATCTCCAAAAAATAGTCAAATGTCCTTAAAATCGAAGAATGTTTCAGCTTTTGGGCAAAAATTATTCAGAAAAAAATAAATTTTTTCGGGAAATTCAAGAAAATATTAGGAAAGTACTGAACTTCCTAAAACTGAAGCAGTTTCCAAAGTGTGATTTTTTTCGTGACGTTTAAAAAATCTTTGAAGAACGATCATTTTCATTTTTGAAAGTCCCAGAACGGTTTCATGAATCTGTCAAATCTATTTCAAATTTCGAACTTTTTTTTTTTCGAAGGAAATTTTTGACAATTTTTTTGCTTGATTTTTTTCGATTTTTAAACTCACTTTTTCGTAAATGATTTCAGTTACTCTTTTTTTATCTTTATCTATTTTTTGAAACAGGAACCTGTTGGAATTCTCCAGGAGATTCCGGAAATGCTCGGGATGGACGCGCCGGACTTTTTTTCCGGGATTCTTATCGTGAAAAAAATGGATTTCGCTCCTCGACTCTGCCTGGTATTGTTGACCTCCTGGAACATCGAAATTTTTCATTATAAATCATTTCTCAATGGTCCATTTGAAAGGAAAACGAACAAAACTGAAAAAAAATAATAATTTCCATCAGATATGCCTCAAAACCACATCACTGTTTCATTTGAGGGTACAGAAAAGTTAATTTCAAAAAAAAAATCCGGTAAACTTGTAAAATTAACATTTTCATACTACAACAATTTACCTGAAAGTATTCTTTGCGAAAAAAAATCAATAAAAATTATTTCAAGAACAGTAAACTCACAGAAATACGAATTCAACTCCTAAAAAGTGTGATTTTCGAGTTTTCTTCCAAAAAATTTCCATAAAAAAGGTAAATTTTCGAAAAAAAGACATCGAAAAATTCGAAATTTATCAAAAAATGACATGAAAAACACAAAAACCGACCCATTTTTAATCCCATCCGTCGACATTATGACAATAATCGTCGAATCGAAAACTCCATTGGCTTTCATAACCTCGAGGGCATTTCTGGAAGGAAAACTGATTTTATTCGATAAATATTTAAAAAGCAAAGGTTTTAAATGATCATTCATACAAAAAAAAGCAAAAAAAAAACGAAGAAAAATGATGACATCCCTCACCGTACCTTTAGAGTTCTCAATAGAGCGCGTTTTCCGGAAATTCCCATTTTTTCCAAAAAAAAATGAACTTTTTAACTTTTTTTTCTTCAAAATGTTTCTCACTGGAATTTTGAATGAATATGTAAGTTTTTAGGAATTCGAAAAACTCAAACATTGAAAAAATTGATATTTTTGAGATAAAATATCATTTTTTTCGAATAAAAAATTCCAGAAGAAAGCTACCCTCGGCTATAGAAAATTTTTAGTTACCTTTTTCTGTTTCGGGACTCTTTTTTTAGGATAATAGAGACATTTTTTTAAATGATTGTGAGATTTTTTTGAAAAAAAAGCAGTTGCGATTTCAGTTGAACATCGACGCTAGAAATGTTTTTTTCAAAAAAATTGCGGACTCCAGGGTCCCCTCTAGGGACCACTCTACTAACCCCTATAGGGGCCACTAAAGTTCGCAAAAGTGGCCCCTATAGGGGTCATTCTAGTCGATACTTTTATAAACTCTATGTCAGTAAAAACTTTCATGTGAAAAACTGAACAAATAAACCTTTTTGAACAAAAATTAAAGACCCCTAAAGCGACCACATTGACTTTAGGGGCTAAGGGGTCCGACCCTAAACCCTATAGGGACCACCTAGATTTTACCCAATTTTTCGGCCCCGGGACCGCCCTAAAATTTTTAAGAAATGAAATAAAAGTGAACATCTAGGGACCACTTAAAGGTTTTCGAAGGAAATTTTTTCGGTTTCGACTTTTTCAACATCGTAACAATATTCTGCATAAAAATAACGTTTTTTCCTACAAAATCTATATTTTTACCTCAAAACGGCGTCTCCTTCCGACCCGAAATTCTCGAAATTGTCCATTTCCATCAGCGAAAAATGACACGAATCGCGGAATTTCAACGAGAATCTTTTTCCAAACTTCCACTTCAGAAGGCGTCTGAAAATATATTTTATTTTTCGACAGAATGGAAAAAGTCCGTCGGTTCGCCGTTTTCGGGCATTTTCAAAAAGGTTTGAAATTTTTTTGATTTCAACTTTTTTTACGTAACCAAAATGTCTAGAAATCTGGATTTTGATTAGCCTGCGAATATTAAAAAAATACTAATTTAAGTTTTTTTCAATTTTTCAGTGTCTCCTGTAAAGGAAATAAATTGGCCCCTAGAGGGAAACCTTCAAGAGTCCTCTCTAGGGACCCCTTCAGTGTTTTTAAAAGATGATCCATTCTTGATTTTGGACTTCAAGAATCAAACTTTTCGTATTTTTTGAGAAAATTTTTGGTCAGGCTTATTTTTTTGACCTGAAATCGATGCATGGGAAAAAAATTGAAAAAAATCCAGAAAAAGGGGGTTTTTTTCAAAGTTGACTGGTCATTTTCTGAAGAAATGAACCATATCAAAAAAATTTTTGAATTTAAAAATTTGGTCGCATTTGGAATGGTTCAACGCGTGGCGGTCGCGTTGCGGTTCGTCCGTTTCAAACCGATCCATTCCAAATGCGACCACGCCGTCCAAAACCGACCACATTTTCCAGATTTTCTTCTAACTTACCGCGTTACAATCATTCAAACTGTTGGTAGATTTCCAGGAACTCAGGTCGAAATCCAGGGATTTTTGAGGAATCCCAGAAGATTTCGCGATTTTATTGGTGAGCGTGACGCAACCGCGATCTGAGTGACGTCATTAATCAATTTGATGACGTCATTTTTAAAACAAACCTTTCATGGAATCCCAAAGAGTCTTGCCATTTTCAGAAGCTCCAAAAGTCCTTTCGAAATTCTCCTCGGGACTCGATTCGACCTGTCTTTTTTCGAATCTTTTCTTTTGAAATATGATTTTTTTGATTATTTCCCATTGACTCTTGTACCATTATAAGCTCATAAATTTCTTGAAAAAATTTTTTTTTTGAAGATTCAACTCTCCTTGGAGCGCACTTGATGTAAAAAAATTGAAATCCAAACTCGATAAAAAAAAAATCCAAACAAACTCGATTTTTTTTTTCTGGATTTTAATCAACTTCTCAGCCAAAAAAATGTAATTTTTTTAGTCATTTTTTTCAATAATTTAGTGACAATATCTTACAACTTGCGGCTGAAAATCCATCATTTAAAAAGAATATTTCACATACTTTCATTGGGAAAAAAATGTTTGAATGTCTAATCAAAAGTTTTTCTGTCGAAAAACTTAAAATCAAAAATAGTGCATTTAATAATCCTTTTTTTAACTGTTTTGAAACAGAAAACTTTTTTTAAATCACTAATTATAAATTTCCAAAGTTTTTTTGACATTTTTTTCACTTTAAAAAAAGTTTACAAGAAATCTTTCATAGGAACGCCATAGTGGTCCCTAGAGGGGCGAGGTTAAAAAAGCCCCTGAAGGGGGCAAAAAAGTGCTCTCTAGAGGGATTAAACTCAAGTGGTCTCTAAAGGGGCTTGGAGTGTGACTTTTAAGCTCCTAAAGTTTAAGTGGTCCCTGTAGTGGTCTTCTAATTTTTGTTTTGATTTGAAGGGTAAAATACCTGAAGCATGCTTCCCCTAGAGGGGCCACTTTTGCAAGCTTTAATGGCCCTTCAGGGAACCTTCCCTCAGTTTGCCCCTCTAGGGGCCACTAACTATGTATTTATTTTAAAAAAAATTCTAAAAGTCTTTTTCTTAGAAGAACAAGAAGTACCTTGCTCAACATGGAGTAGGAGATGAACCGATTTTCTCGCATAAAATCCAAACTTTTTGGTAATTTTCTCAATATTTCCGAGTATGAAGCGCTGGATACGGTAAGAATCGCCAAGGAAGCTTCAGAAGACTGAAAAATCCGAAATTTAAATTTAAAATCCAATTAAAAGACCTCTGAAGCATTGAAGTCGTTCCTTGGTTTTCTGGCCGCCTGAATTAATTTTATTTCAAAATAAAAATTTAAATACCGTATAAATTCTAAAAAAAACCTACAAAATTGACAAACGGATTACTGTAGACCAGTTTGCCGGATTTATGACATTCGACGAGGAAATTCTCGAAGGGAACGTTTTGTTTCGTTTCCAGTGGAATCTAAAATTATTCACTGGGAAGAGATACTGTTACAGTAATCTTCATGGGTTACTGTAGAACCAAAAAAAAAATCTAGAGTTCAAATCCTACAGTGAAACCAAGAGACCAACTTTGTGAGGTAGCGGATTATAAACTTCAGAAAACCGTTGAAAGCTACAGTGATCTTCATTGAATACAGTAAGACCGAAATATTTTAAAAACGAAATTTATACAGTATACCTACAGTAATCTTCAGTAAGAAGGAATTTATGCAAATTCAGAAATACACGAATGAAAAACATGAATAAACCCGAGAAACCAGAAATTTTAGAGCTCGGGAAAACTGTTTTAAACTACAGTAAACCTCGAAGGTTACTGTAGAAATTTAAGAAGGAAAATTTAAGTAACCTTCATTGAATACAGTATGACAGAATTAATACAAAACTGAAAATACTACAGTATATCTACAGTAACCTTTCAAAAAGTGGAAGTTATGAAAATACAAAAAAACGCGAATGAAAAATTTCAAAAAATCAGCAATTTCGAAACTTATAAAGATTTTCTGAAGCTACAGTAATCTTCATGGGTTACTGTAGAACCCAAAAAAAATCTAGAGCGGAAGTTCTACAGTACACCCAACTGCGGAAGGTGGAGGATTATAAACTTCAGAAAACCGTTTCAAACTACAGTAATCTTCATTGAATACAGAACACCAAAAAGTTATCGAAAATTTAAAAAAACTACAGTAAACCTACAGTAACCTTCAAAGAGAAGAAATTTATAAAAATTCAGGAGAAAAGAACGAATTCAATACAAGAATCATCCCGAGAAATAAAAAATTCTAAAACTCGCTAAATTCTCTTCGAACTACAGTAATCTTCAGAAATTACTGTAAAAATTAAAAAATGAAAATCCTAGAGTAAAACTGAGAGAAATGTGAAACTGAAGCACCGTCCAGAAATAAAGAATTATAAACATCCGTAAATCGTTTAAAGCTACAGTAACCTTCAATGAATACAGTATGATAGAAATTAATTAAAAAAAAATAAATCCTACAGTAAATCCACAGTAATCTACCGGAAGATAAAAGTTAAGAAAATTCAGAAAAACGCAAATGAAGTCCATCCCGAAAATCAACAATTTCAAAAATTTATAAAATTTTTCTACGCCTACAGTAATCTAAAATGGTTACTGAAAATGAATAAATTTGAAGTTCCAGGCATTTCTAGAAAAAAATCAGTGCGCAAAAAAGCATCAAAAATAAACAACATTAGAAGAATCTCAAATCTACAATAACCTACAGTATCCTATAGTAACCAACCTCGAATTCCAGCCTCTGCTCCTCATTTGACGGCAGATTCACTGCTTTACACCTGGAATGAGAATGGATAAAAAGCTACAGTAACCCGGAAAACTTACAAAATATCTCTCCCGTCTACTGTAGATATTAAAATTGTACCGTAATCGTCATCAAATGTGACGCGGACCGAACTTTTCGCAGTACATCGGCGAGTTCTGGAATTTCGAAGGTTTTTGAGTGAATTTGGTCGCATTTGGAATGGCTCGAATTTGAAAAAACCGCGACGCGTCGAGCCATTCCAAGTGCGGCATTAAAAGAAATCACCTTCTCGTCTCCAAAAAAGGCTGCAAATCGGGTTCAAACGGGGAGAAAATGGGCCATTTGCAGGAGTTGTGCAGGATCTCGTGGACCGCTCAAAAATTCAAACGATAAAAAATGAAGGTTTTTTTTTCTGTGAGAACTCTGAAACTATACAAAAAGTGGGAAAATCAATAAAATACAAAAAAAAAGTTGAAATTCATCTACAGGGAAGGAAACGAACAATGGGGCGGGGCGATGACGTCATAGAAGCTGTCACGATCGTCGACGGTTCGGGCGAAAGTCAGCTTCTTGCTGTTGTGCCAGTAGATGGTGGAAAGGGCGATGAGAAGTGTGGCGGCCACTCCCGCCGCGATCATCCCCTGCCAATTGATTCGTTTTTTCCCGTTTTATCAGTGGGGCGAAGGAGACGTCGAGTGGCTTGGGGAAACATATAGGGTAGGCTTTTAATAGCGGAGGCGCTAAAGTGGCCACTAGAAATGCTCAGAAACGTCTGGGGCGTGTCCGAGGTGGGATTATTTCATGGATTTATGAACTGAGGAACGAATTTCATCAATGGAGCGAAGGAGACGTCAATCAGCTTCCTCGGACATTGTTAACGCAAAACCGACGAGTCGGGGCATTTCTAGTGACCACTTTAGTAGTGTCAACACTCTTAAGTGATCCCTAAAATTGCTTAGAAACGTCCGGAGCACGTTCGAGGTGGGATTAAAGCATGCATTTCTGGACTGAGGAACGAATTTTATCAATGGGGCAAAGTAGACGTCGAGTAGCTTGGTGAAACATACAGGGTAGGCTTTAAAAAGTCCAAAGAGCGGAGACCCTAGAGTGGTCCCTAGTAGTGCTCAAAAACGTCTGGGGCGTGTCCGAGGTGGGATTAAAGCATGCATTTCTGGACTGAGAAACGAATTTTATCAGTGGGGCGAAGGAGACGTCAATTAGCTTGCTCGGACACTGTTAACGCGAAACCGACGAGTCGGGGCATTTCTAGTGACCACTTAAGAGTACTGACGCCCCTTAAGTGGTCACTACAAGAAACGTCCGGGGCGAGAGTAACTTAGACTTCCCCTGAAATGAGGCGCCAGAAGATCGGCACAACCATTTCTCTCTCACACACTATTTTGTCGTTATCTAGCTGCGAGAGAACGACGAAATAGTGTGTGCCAGAGAAATGGCTGTGGTGATCTTCTAGCGCCTCATTTCAGAGTTGATCCGAGTTACTCTTTCTCCGGAAGTTTCTTCTAGGGACCGCTTCAGCACTCTTAAGTGGCCACTAGAAATGCTTAGTAACGTCCGTGGTGGATTAAATCATGGATTTATGAACTGAGGAACGAATTTCATCAATGGAGCGAAGGAGACGTCAATCAGCTTCCTCGGACATTGATAACGCAAAACCGACGAGTCGGGGCATTTCTAGTGACCACTTAAGGGGCGTCAGTACCACTAGAAACGCTCAGTAACGTCCGAGGCGAGAGTAACTTAGACTTCCCCTGGAATGAGGCGCCTAAAGTTCGCCACAACCATTTCTCTGTCACACACTATTTCGTCGTTATCTAGCTGCGAGAGAACGACGAAATAGTGTTGGCTGTGGTGATCTTCAGGCGCCTCATTTCAGAGTTGGTCCGAGTTACTCTTGCCCCAGAAGTTTCTTCTAGGGACTTCTTCAGCACTCTTAAGTGGCCACTAGAAATGCCCCGAAACGTCCGATTCACGTTACCTATGACTGAGAAAGCAAGAATTTATGTATTAAGAAACTAATTCCGTCACTATTTCTGAGCATTTCCGGAGATCAATTAAATTGAGAGTACTGTTGCCGCTAAAGTGGTCCCTAGAAATGCTCTGAAAGGCGCGTCCGAGGTACAAGTCACTTGGACATTGGTCACGCGAAACGGACGTGCTCCGGACATTTCTGGGCAGTTCTAGGGATCACTCAAGAGCGCTGAAGCTGCTAAAGGGGTCACTACAAATGCCCAGAAACGTCCGGGGCACGTCCGTTTCGCGTTACGAATATCCGAGAAAGATTGAATTTCTGGATTGAGGAACGAATTTTATCAATGAGGCGAAAAAATCGCAGAATAATTTGGAAAAGCATACACAAATAGTCAGGAAAATTGAAAATCCTTCCAATTAATTTTAAGATAATAACAATTTATATGATTAAACATCTAAAATGAGCGAAAAAATACTTTTAAATGTTGAAATTGTAAAATAATGTTTGAAATAAGTTCAGAAAAGCGACTTTTCTTTTTTTGTTTCAGTACTTCCTATATCAAACTTTAAAAAAATGGATAGACCGAGTAGGAAAAAAAAGAGAATAAATCAAGAAAATAGAGGAGAAAGGCTCCATATTTTTTGTTGAGATTTTTCTCTTTTCGGAACTTTTCAATCTTTTTTTCTTGATTTGGAAGTTTTTTTCCGCATGGATCATTGCTTTTTTTGAAACTAATACTATAAAAGAATCAAAAAAAGAAAACACAAAACACAAAATTCCTGTTTTGAGATAATCCTAAAAAAAAAGGTTGAAAATAGAAAAAAACCATGAATTCCGTGAATCTTGAACCATTGTTCAGAACAAGAAGATCGACTGGAGACATAAAAAAGACCAAAGAATAGGAGAAATTATCAGAAAGAGGGGTGGCAAGGCCTGATCTGGGCAGTTTTTATCCTCCGTTTGGATTGGAATGTCTCGGAAAAAAGTTCGGTCTTTTGGACAAAAAAAATAAGCGCAAATGAGATCAAACTATCATTGGAATGAGATATGGACCATATAAAAACGAAAAAAATAAAAAGTTTGGAAAAAAATTTTGGAAAAAAATTTTTTTGAAGAATCGGCTTCTTAGGGCTAGTTATTTCTTTTTCAATAATCATTTCTAAGTTTCTAATGAGCGCAAGAGTCCTTTTTCAACCTGCAAAACAAATCTTCGTTTCGAGACTTCTATAAAAAAATTTCCTATGCTCCTTTAAAGCCTCCGGTGAGCATTTTTCAGGTGAAAAAAAGGATATGAGTACAAAGCTAATTTTTGAAAAATAAGAAACTAAAAAAATGGAAAAAAATGTTATGATCGAGAAATGCAATGTTTAAATGGACTACAGGAAAAAAATAAAAAAATTTTTAAAAAAATGGGCTTCAAAGTAAATTTTTTTAATAATTCAAAAGATGAATTTCCCTTCTGAAAAAAATCAGAAGAATCGAATGATTCCAAATGAAATTCTATCCAAAACTGGAACGAAAAAAACGAGAAAATACTGGCCGACGGCCTCTTTTTGCTAGTTGCGGTTTCAAAAATGTTTCAAAGGGGTGCGAAATGCGACTTCGATTGATGAACCTTTCGCGGAAACAAAGAAAAAATGAAGAAATTGAGAAAAAAAAAGCAAAAAAAATGAACAAGTTTGAGTTGAAATCGAAATCATCTAGGACCATACTTTCAAAATATTTTTGCTAGTTTCGTTATCGATAAGAGCTCTGCCGTTAAAAATAAAAATCGGTTTCTTCAAATATTTCCAAATCCTTGAGAAAGCCGGAGTTCACAGAGGGCCAACCCTAAAGGCACATCGAAGGTTCCCCTAGAGGGGCCACTAAAACTTCCAAAAGTGAGCACTCTATAGGAGAATGTCAGCCGTTTGTTGCTATGAACAAGCATTATTGTGCAAAAATTCGATAAAGCAACTTTGGAACGAAAAATGTCAACAGAGGATTAATCGATTTTATTTGAAATGTCTTGAATTTTGATGAACAAACCGCTAGAAGGACCACTTCAGGAGGCTTAGAAGTCAAATCTTAGACCCCTATAGGGACCACCTAAACTTTACCTCTCTACAGTCCTATTTTGTCTCCTATAGGGGCCACTTGAGAGGGCTTACATGTCAAATTCTAAACCCCTATAGAGACCACCTAATTTTAGTCCTCTAGAGAGCGCTATTTTGTTCCCTGACCCCTCTAGGGGCCACTCTGGCGTCCCTATAGGAATTTGTGAGTTACAGAAAAGCTTCACCAACTTAACAAGGAGACTCCGAACCCCACCCCCCGTCAGACCCTAAATCCCTAAATGGACCACCTAATCATACCCCCTAGAGAGCACTATTTTGTCCCCTAACCCCTATAGGGGCCACTCTGTAGTTCCTAAGTGGCCTAAGGGCCAGTGATATAGCGAAGGAGATCCCAAAAAGACAAACGGAAGATCGGAAAACCGGCTTGTTGCCAAGGAATCTGAACGAATCCGCCGACGTTTCCCAAAAAAGGTCGGGCCGTTGACGATGATCGCAATCGAAATCCGACGGCGACGGGGTCCACAAATTGCACTTCAAGTGTGAAATTGGATATCCTCGGATCGCAGAGGAGAAAAAAAAAGTTGCCAAAAGCCGTTTGTACTTTGGACACAAGGTGTTGAAGTCAATGTAGCAGTGAAAATGAAAAAAAAAACAGAACTAGACTCTAGTCTAGCTTGGGAAATGCTACAGAATCTCTTCATCCCTCACACTTTCTCTAAGATCGTGTTAAGACCTTTTTATGGGTCAATTTTTTTCAACCAAAGTGATTATAATCATTATTTAAATACCAAAAGCGTCTATAGTGGCCCTCGAAAAATATATTTTTCTGACCTCCAAAAAAAGTTCGAAAAAAATCCGAGATTGAATCGGCTCAAATTTTCTGTTAAATGATATTGTTTTTCTCAATTTTTTTAAAGAAATTAAACGGGAGGAGAAAAAAATGACTGTAAAATTATTTTTTTCAAATTATTCTTTAAATTATCTGCCCTTTGTGAGTTTTTTTCTTCGATACCTCGTTGATGAATTTCAAAAAAATTATTTATCATCTCAAAATCATTGTCAAATTGAAAAAGTACCTAAAAGCTCTTTTTAGAATCAAAAAAACCATTTTTTTAATTTATTTTTCGAAGATTGACAAAACAATGAATCAATATATCAAAACCGTCCGCATTTTAAAAAGCCAAAAAAAGCTCAGGACAAGGAGGAACCAAACAATTGATATCGGAGATCACAAGGAACAAATACGCCAACCAAAAAGTGGACCGCAGCGATCACAACGAGAAAAAACTGCCGCGAAAGAAGAAAAAAACTTCTTGTGAAGACGATTCTTTCTCTTGAGGGCAGCTAAGAAAAAAGAATTTCAAAAAAAAAGTTTGAAAATGAAAAAAAAAAGAAGAACTTTAAAAATCACCTTTTCTACTTCCAAACTTCCCTCAGATGGCCGGAGTCAAGAAATCTAAGTGGTCACTTAAGTGGAATCTCTTTAGTGACCCTTTCAAGAAGACTATGCCTGACTGAGTTTAATTTTTTTAAAAAAATCGAAAAAGTTTGCTTGCGAATGAAAAAAAGGAAGCTCAGAAAGCAAATAAAATAATAATATTTCAGAAAAAAAGCTCAAGAAGTAGAAAGTGGTCCCTCAAGTGTAGTTTTTTCTTTTTAAAGATCACTTGGATCTACGTCCAATAGATCAAGATTGGAAAATCGAAAAAAAATAGAAGTTCAGTTTTCAACTTGATTATCTCTTCCTAAAGCTCAGTTTGAACCGAAAAACAGATTGCTTCTCCTTAAGTGATCACTAGAGAAACCTAAGAGCTTTTTTTAGTGATAAATCGAAAAGTCCGACATTCCTTTTGGTCTTAAAAATCAAAAAAAAAAAAGAAGGTCAGCTTTAAACTTGATTATATCATTGAAGAAGCTCAGGAACCGTCCGAACTTTCCAGTTCGAACCGAAAAACAGATCTTTCATCCTTAAGTGACCACTAGAAAAACCTAAGCGCTTTTTTCAGTAATCACTCGAAGAGGCCGACTTTTCGTTTGGTCGCATGGATCAAAAAAAAAAGAAGCTCAACATTAAACTTAATTAATTAAAAAAGCTGAGAAACCGTCCGCACTTTCCAGTTCAAACCGAAAAACAGGTCAAGTACGGGGGACGCGGAGTGGGGGGAAATTTTTGAGAAAGTCGCAAAAGCCACGAGACGCGATGAGACGCTGAACAAACCGGCTGGACGAAAGATAACGTGTCCGAAAATGTTTAGGACAATCCGACGGCGGCTTGGATCCGCTCAATTAACCGGGCGCAAAAGTTCAAAAAAACCTGTTGTTTTGACGTTGTGATGGTTTTAGGGACCACCTTTCTTCCCCCTAAGTGGCCACTTTAGGGGAGCATAGTCATTTATTGTTATGAACTTTTGAGAAGATGCACTTCCATGCGAAAAAATAAATAAATTGTCGTTTTTGGACGGAAAATATCAAAAAAAGGATTAAAGGCATAGGGGCAGTAAAAATGGGGTTTCAGGTGAAAGCAGTATCTTGTATAGTTTTTCATTGCGAATCGAACTGTGCTATCAAAAAAGTCACAGATGTGACAACTTTAGAAGAAAAACGCGATTTTACTTTCCCGCCTTTAATTTTGAAAAAAGCTTTGGATCGGTCTACGGACAAACGTTTACAGTAGCCGTACACGCGATGTTGCGGACGTCTCATTAGACTCACTTTTTGTCAAAAATAACCGGATATCTGCTTAAAATCAAGGGTTTCTTCTCTGAAAAATCGATTAAGAAAACAGAAAACACTCCTCGATAAAAAAGAAAACACAAATAATCGCTATCCCCATCGAAACCTGTGTAAAATCATCATTTTTCACCAGAAAAGCTTTTTTGCGATCAAAGTTTGCAAATTATATATGAATAGAAAGCTTTTGTGACGAAAAGGACTTTGGTGACAACAGAAAAAATTAAAAATTGAAAGAAACGAAGAAAAAAGCGAAAATCCGGAAGATAGTGAAGCGTGTTGTCTATAGAGCAACTTTACTGCAAAGCGCCCTTTTCGCGGGAACTCAAGCTTTCCTTTCTCCGACTTTGAATTATTTTTTCTCCAAAGCTAGGGAGTTTGGTACATTTTTAAGTTCACCATTCGATTCGCAACGAAAAGCTCTACAAAGTACTGCTTTGAACTGAAACACCGTTTTTACTGCCCCTATGCCTTTAATAGATCGAGTTTCATCAAAAACGTATGGTCACTTTCTTTCAAATCATTTTAAGGCCCCTATAGGGACCACTCAAGCTCAAGGATAGAACGCACCTACTGGGAAAAACTCTAGTGGCCACTGAAGGGGTTCCTCAAGAAGAGTGATCTAAAGTGGCCGCTATAGAAGCCACTTTTTCTTGTCTTAGGTCACTTTAGTATCTTTTAGTGGCCCAGTGGCACCGCTTAGACTTCTAAAGAGACCATTAATCCTTAGCCCCTTAAGCGGCCATTTTTCACAATTCTTTTTTTCCCTTTAGGGAGCCCTATAGGGTCTCTGTTTTCTAACTCCTCTAGGGACCACTCTGGCGTTCCTAAGTTCAACTCCTGGAAATTTACTTTCCCAAACTCTCGATACCCTGTAATAGCCCGACTTTCTCTCCCAATTAGCCTTGGAATGACCCGATTTCGGGGAATCTTTCAAAGGCTCAAATTGCGCGAGTTGCGAACTCATTGCGCAATTTCGTGCGCCGAGACTCCCGCCGTCAAATTATTCTTCATTTTCACTTCAATTTCTCAACGATTTTTGCCACTAAAATGTCTTCATAATGATATTTCTGACGGGTTTCTGGTTGATGACTGTTTTTGGTGAGTTTTTGAAACTTTTTTGAGTTTTTTTTTGTTTTTCGTGCACCTGGGTAGTCATTTTCAAGCGTAATCTTTTGAAAAAACTGTTTTTTTTTTCCGAAAACGCAAAAATAGGTTCAGAACAGTCATTTAAAACATTTTGAACCTCTTTTTCCTCTTTTCTGTAGAAGACGGATCCGTAACGGACGCTCAAAGGGCCCGTGAAGGGTCTTTCCGACTTTGCCTGATGACAGTGACCGCTAAGACGCAAAATAGTGGTTTCTATAGCAGTGGCCACTTTAGAGTCCTCTCCAAGTCTTCCAGTAACCCCTCAAGTGACCACTACAGTTTTTTGCAGTTTCAATCAATATTAAAATGAATTTCACATTGGCGAGGTGCTTGTTCGTTTAAAAATTTTTTCGTTGATTTTTTAATGATTAGTCCAGGAGTCACTGAGGGGCACGGAAAAATGAGACCGGTTTTTGAAAAAAGGAGTTTTTTTTTGATGAAGGTTATGATTTTTTTTTAAATTTCGAAAGCCGTTATTTGTAAAACAGAGTAAGTAAGAACATATATAATTCCTCTAAAAATCGAACCCGTCTTTTTTTTTTTTGAAATCGGAGCAGAGGGTATGCAAATTTAAGCATTATATTCAAAAGAGTCTGAAAAAATTATTAGTCTAGATCCAACTTGGAGCTGTCACTCTCTGTCGCCCCCGGCGCCAACCCACGCAAGGTCGGCTGCAAGGGCCCGAGGCGTGACTTCGATGGACCGAGTTGAACCTTTGGATATCGATTATTCTACTGATTTGCGGTGTCGGCCAGACTATCAGCCCTACACTTTCAATGGTGATAAATATTCAAAAATAGCTTTGAATCAAATTTCAAATATTCTGACCATAAAAGTTTGCTGTGATGTACTCTTACAGGAACCCTGATTTAAGAAAAAAAATCTTTCAAGAGAAAAAAAGTCATAAATCAACTAAAACACGGAAAACGGAGGAAAATTTCGGTGCTTCAGACGCCAGAGGGGTCTCTAGAGTGAACACCATAAGGGTTTTTGCAGATTACCCTCAAGGGACCACTTCACTTCCTTCTATAGGACAACTAAAACTTGCAGGAGTGGCCATTTTAGGGGTTTCAGTTAGTGGCCACCCTCGGGAGCATGCTAGTGGTCCCTAGAGCGAACACCATAAGGGGTTTTTGAAGATTCCCCTCAAGGGACCACTTCCCCTCCTTCTATAGGGCAACTAAAGCTTCCAGAAGTGGTCCCTTGGGGGTTTCAGTTATTGACCACCCTAGGAAGCATTCTAGTGGTCCCTAGAGTGAACCCCAAAGGGGTTTTTGCAGATTCCACTCAAGGGACCACTTCACTTCCTCCTATAGGGGAGCTAAAACTTACAGGAGTGGCCACCCTAGGGAAGCATTGGGAGGAGGAAGAGCAAGCAAGAAATCGTAGGGACCACCTGGACTTTAGCCCTCTAGGGACCACTATTCAGTCCACTATAGGGGCTTTTTCCTTCCAAGCCCTCTAGTGATCACTCTGGCTTTCCTAAGTTCTCAAAGTTCTAAAAATTCCATTCTGAGGCGTCTAAACCTCTTCTTTTCGCATACTATCTCCCATCCTGATAAAATGACTTCTCAAGCCAGTGATGAATCGACTATAAATCTTACAATAAAAAAAAGTACTCAGAAATCCGATCGGCCGCCTCGATTCACCCCTTAAGTGACGACCCTCAATTGGCAGTGGATGAAGGGGGACGAGTCACCTGTTCTTTCGACAATTCTCAGGAGTTCTGCAGCTGGCACAATGCTCCGGAAACGGTCGTCAAGTGAGCTTTGAGAGCGGTCCCTAGAGGGGCTACTTTATGGGCGCTTGAAGAAGTCTCAAGCCATTTTTTCAATATTTTCCTTTAATTTTTCTCAGAAGTACATTTTTTAGGGATGCCAGAGTGATCCCTAAAGGGGCACTAACGCTTGCAAAAGTGGCCACTCTAGGGATTTTACTTACTTAGTGGTCCCTCTAGGGGCTATTCTTGGATTGTAATGAACTTTCTGCATAGGAAAACTTTTAATCCCTACGAAATTTTACCTTTTGTTCACTATAGGGCTGTTTTTCCCCTAACCCCTCTAAGGACCACTCTGGCGTTCCTGAGATAGTCATTTCCAAGTGAGTTGTAAGGAATTCTTACCAACGCGTTGCGGTCGCAACGCGGTTTTCGGCGGGAAACGTGAATTCAAACGGAAATTAATGCTTTTTCTATAATTTTCTGTACATTACATTAACGTTTCAAATAGAAGTATAAAAAATGCCTTTTCAAAATTTTCCCACGTTTGACAATGGTAATTATCCATATTAAATCTGTGCACTAAACACAGCGGAAATTATATATTTTTAAAAAAAGGGTTAGAAACCGGGATCATCGCTAAGAGCCATTTTTACCTTTGTTTATGTAAACTTTATTTTTTTCTTGGAAGTTTTTTTGAAGTACAAAGAGATTCTGGTAAAACTATTTTTCAAACTGATTTGATAAAAAAATGTTATTTGAAGGTTCTGGCAAGCCCATTTTGGACTATACTAACTTCTGATGCTTTTCCAGGCTAAAATACAAAAAATTTTTGAGATTTGGCCTATTTTTCCCTACTTTTGAAGCTACTTCAAAGCGTAATCATTGAAAAAAGACTTTTTTCAGATTTTGGAAAGCCAAATTCGAACGATACTTCGATAAAGAGCGATTCGATTGCACCAATGTTCGGAAATTCGCGTTTGGTTTGAAAAATTCTGTTTTTTTCCTTATAAAAAAATATAATTTTTCAAGACGGATTTTTTTCCTATTGGCCGGAGGTGAACCAGTTTTGTCGCCTCAAACCGTCGCCCTTGAAACGAATATTCCTTGTCAGTACGGAAACGCCGTCGTTAAGTTTGAGTAAGTTAAATCCAATCAAAAAAATATTTGAAATTAAATTTTAAGCTATCTAACGCAAAAAAATCTCAAAAAAATTCAACTTCAACCTAATTTTCGAAAAAAGAAGAAAAATTCCCTATTTTTTTGCCCTTCTCGGCAATGGAAAAAGCGACTTAATGGGGCCAAACTTTTTAGAAAAAGGATATAATTTTTTTGATTTTATTCGTAAAAATCAATATTTTTCAAGCTTCTTATTTGGGAAAAGTCTTCAAGCTTGTCATTATTCCAGGCCAAAAAAATCTATAAATTTTTGAAATTTTTTTGCAAGCTTTTTTTCATTGAGGAAGCTTCCAAACCAGGTCTAATTTGGGTCAAAAAATCTAAATCTCCCAAAAATTATATCCCTTTTTCTTCAAAACACTAAAATTTACTGAAATCTGGGCATTTTTAAAACAAAAATTCTGAGCTTCTGGTCAAAATTTCGGCGAAAAATGTCAAAAATCAAGGTTTTTTAGGGCAACAAAATACTTCTTAATCAAGTTATTTTATATTAAATATAAAATTCAAGCTTTCTAAAAAAATTTCAATACGAAAAATGGGAATTTTGCGCAAGTTTTGGACAGAAAAGAATTTCCAAACCTACGGCTTGATTTTATTTTTTCGACCTAAAACTCGATTTCCTGTTTCAGAATACTTTTATAAGGTTTATAAAAACGTTTTGAACATTTGACAGTGCAAATTGACTTTTCAGCTTCTGGGCGAGTTCCGATACTCCAATTTTGCGACAATGCGTCTCACGGGACAACGGAAATGACGTTCTTTGCGAGGTTAGCTCACATTAACGTTTCAAGCCTCGATTTAAACAGAAGTTGTACATCTTGTCCATTACAGAGCTCTGAGGGACAAAATCAATCAAATCCAAAAATTACGAGACAAAAACTTCTCCAGAAATCCATTTTTAGATTATTTCTTATTTTCGACTAAAATATATTTTGGCCTAAAACCAGCTGCAAAAATTCTACCGTAAACACAGCTTTTTTTGCGATTTCGCTTCGAGGCCATCGAAAAACAGAAAGCAACCCCTATAGGGGTCGAAGAAGTGGTCCCTGTAGGAGTTCAGGGTCTGACCCCTTAGTCCCTATAGCTCAAGTGGGCCCTTTAGGGGTCTCTCAATTCAATTCAAAAAGCTTATTTATTCAGTTTTTCTCATGGAAAAGGTTCTTCGTTTGAAGTTCATAACAATAATCGACTGGCATGTCCCCTATAGGGGCCACTTTTGCGAGCTTTAGTGACCCCTATAGGGATTGGTAAAAAGGTCCCTAGAGAGGAACCTCCAAGGGCCCTTGCCCTCATAGGGATCACTCCGTCGTTCCTTAGTAATGGTTCATATTTTTCCAGGACATTCTACCGATGCCAAATCCCGTCAACTTCAGTGTTGCTCAGTCTATGACGCCGATTCGCGTCCGAATTGAAGTCGTCAATGTTGGGACGAATGACGTCATCCTAATCGATAATATCATGTACGAGGGCCAGATTTGTGAGCTGGTTAGTCTGATCAATGCTCAGTCTATCTCTAGAGCGGTCCCTAGAGGGGCAACCTTAGATGGAGGTCCCCCTCTAGGGATCTCTGAAGCTTGCAAAAGTGGTCCCTATAGGGGTCATGCTGATCGATTATTTCTATGAACTCATTTCCACTATATCCAATAAATAAGCGATTTTTTGAGAGACCCCTATAGGGAACACTTAAGCTTTAAGGGCTAAGGAATCAAAACCTGAACCCCTATAAAGAATACCTTAATTTTAGCCCTATAGGGACCACTTTTTCGGCCCCGAAAGGAGCATTTTTTTTCCCCTAACCCTTTAAGTGACCACTCTGAAACTCCTGAGTAGAAGATATTTGTCCTTTTCATCTACTTAAAATAAAAAATTGAAATTAACTGGTCAATAGTCCATTCATCGCGACTTGAAAGTTTCCGAGTGTCTGCGTCCCTCTGTTCCCTCAGCGGCGAGATCAGAGAAACATGGAAATAGCACGTAAACATGAGAGGGTCGCCGAGAGACGAGGAGGGCGCAGAGAACTTTCAAATCGAGAGAAACGGACTATAAACTCTACAGGAAAGCCTTCAAGACCCTCGATTCTTTGAAAAAAACCCCTAAAGTGACTACTCAGATCGACGAAGAGGAGCCGACGGTCGTCTCAACAGAAACCCCACTTCTCCCGTCTTCCACAACTCCTTCTGCAGTTCAGAAGTTCTTCGAAGACGAAGATATATTGAACAGCAACTCCTTCGGCATAACTGTGAGTTCCCTCGAGTCCAAATCGAAAGTAAGAACGGATTTCCCCGGCGTTTGACCTCGTTTCCCGCAAGGCAAAATGCAAATCCGCCGCTTCGCCCGCTTGTTTGCCCTCTTTAGGGCTCACTTCTGCGTTCAATTACAATAGTATACTCTATCTGTTTTTATTTGACGTTTAAAGGAGCATAGGCAATACTGATACGAGTCTCGAAGAGAAAAGAGACTTTTTTTCCAATAATAATTATATTGAGATATTAGGGTAAAAAAATAAAAAAAGTCAATTACAAAGTTCAACTATTTAAAAAAATTTCTTTGATTTTTAAAGGAGCATAGGCAAAAGTTGATAAAGGTCTCGACAAGAAAATAATCTTTTTTTCATTCTCTAATAAGCTCCTTCCAATAAAAAAACTATGTTGAGAATTCAGGGTAAAATAGAAAAAAATCAATTACATGATTATAAATGCTTTGATCTTTAAAGGAGCATAGGCAAAATTTGATAAAGGTCTTAAGGAGAAAAAGAAGTTGCTTTTCCTCGTCATAGTAAGCTTTCTTGACGAAAAAAATTTCACAATTTTGATTCGAAGTAAAAATCAATAAGAGTAATACTTGAAAATTAAAGGAGCATGGGCTTCACTGAAAATGGTCTCGACGAGAAAATAGACTTTTTTTAATTCCTTGATGAAAATTTCAAAAAATCAAGACGAAGTAGAAAATATATTGATATACTAGACCCAAGTTTATTTGATGTTTAAAGGAGCATGGGTTCAACTTAAAGGGGTCTCGACGAGAGAAGCGTCTCCCTTCATTTCAATAGATGTCAATCCAATTCTTTCAAGCAGAATTCCGTCTCCACGACGTCCACGTCATCTGAAGCCCCAACGACGACGTCGCCGTCTTCTGAATCGCCTCCAGAAGTGATGACGTCATCGGTTGTCGGGGAACTATCGCCGTGCGTCGCCCTCACGTGCACTTTCAACGACGGCGACTCGTGTTTCTACGGTCTCAGTGGCATCGGAAGCACGTAAGTGGCCACTTGAGGGGAATGACGTCATCGGAAGGCTTCAGAGTTCCTTGGCAACTTGCCTCGAGGCTTCTGGGGAATCGTCACACCGGCATTCAGAGGATCGACGTCTTGGATCAATCACAAGGTTGGGAGAGTGATGACGTCACGAGTAGCAATACTCGGAGAGAGAAATGACGTCAATCAAATCAAAAGGCTCTTAGAGATATAAAGTCATAAAAAATAGAAAGTTTCGAGAAGTTACGTCATTAAAATCGAGAAGATTGAAAAGAAATGACGTCATTTAAATTGAAAGAAATGGGAAATAATGACGTCATTTGAATCAAAAGGTTCGAGAAAAAAGGAGGCCATTCAAATGAAACGGTTCGTAGAGATGAAGTCATTAAAACTAGAAATTTTGGAGAGAAGTGGCGTCATTTAAATTGAAGGTTTTGGGATTGAATGACGTCATTAAAATCACAAGATTCGGGGCGAAATGACGTCATTAAAACTAGAAAGTTTTGGGATTAAATGACGTCATTAAAATCGAAAAGTTCGGAGCGAAATGACGTCATTGAAGCCAGAAAATTCGGAGAAAATAACGTCATTAAAACGAGAAAGTTTTAGGATCAAATGACGTCATTTTAATCAGGCGGATCAAGGAGTAATGACGTCATTCAATAAGAAAATTTTGGAGCAAAATGACGTCATTAAAACTAAAAAGTTTTGGAATTAAATGACGTCACTGAATTCACAAAATTCACGGAAGAAATGATGTCATTAAAATCGAAAAATTTGAAAACAAATGACGTCATTAAGATAATTTGGAAATATACTATGACGTAATTTTTACGGTGGTTGAGGCTTTATAAATAGTCCGACTTGACGCTTTATTCAAAAATAATAAATCCTAGATTATAACATCGTTAGGAAAAGCTTAAGTGATCACTTAAGGGAAAATAATTATTTCAGTCGGATTCGTCTACGTGGGGAGCGACTCGATTGGGTACAACGAAGACCTTTTTGTGATGGAATCCCCGAAATTCTCCTTGAAAGAAGACGTCGTCATGGTCTTCGACATCTACTTGAGGTCCTACTATCCGAGATTGAAGGTAAAACTGAGAAATTGGAGAATTAATAGTAGAAGTCATTTTACTGTTTCGCTCTATGGTCAAATGACCTTGAAATTTTTTTTTACTAATCTCCATATGTAATTGGTTTTCAAATGGAAAATTACGAAAAATGGGATCATCGAGGCATTTTATCCATGGAGCTCAAAAGATAAGTTTGCTGCGGCTTTTTCTGACCTAGGTCATTTTTTGGAGTTCCCGCAATTTTTCCCTTTTTTTGGCTGAAAAAAAGTTATTTTGAGCTTGAATTATTTGAAAATAAAGTTTTTGCTTGAAAATTATCTATGGAGCACACATGTCGAGCTTCTTGAAGTTTTTTCTCGACCCTTTTTTTCCAATAATTTTTTTTGCTCTTCTATGAACCGATTCATCATTTTCCCAGGTTTGCGTGGACAGTTTCGACGATTGCCCATATTTCTCCTCGAGTTTGGACAAAAAAGAACATTGGCACTTCTCCCAGAAAGTTCCCCTAACGGCTGGAGTCAGGAAGGTTTTCTTTCCCCCAAAATTCCAGACAATGAAAAATTCTACCTTTCCAGGTATATTTCGTGGCCAGCAACATCGCCCGCCATCAATTTCTTGCCGTTGATAATATCCGACTGGAAAATGCAGACGGAATCGCGAAATGTCCCCCGTCGACGTTTATAAACACCTCGGCTCAAATTTAAAATCTTCAATTTATTTTTTTATTGATTTTTTTGATGTTATCAACGGGTTTCTAACATTCCTTCAAAACAAAATAATTTTCCGAAAACTTGGTTTGTCTCTAATTTGATCTCGAAACGATCAAAATGACGCTTTTATCCATGAAAACCATTCAAATGTTTTCTATCTTGATGGAAAGAATTTTTTTTTGTCTCCTGGAATATGTCTCATTTTACCTCATAATAAATCGGAATGACACATTTTTTATAAATGTTTCACTGAAAATCCTTATCATTCATTTTTATCACAGTCAAGAAGAAAAACAAAAGAATCCGTCCCTGAACATTTCAAAAAAATTGATTCTTTTTTTGAACCGAAAAAAGTTTAGTTTCGATAATAAAAACCTCAAAAAAACATGTCTCAGAAAAATGCAAGTGAAATCCGCTTCACATGGATCTGTTATTTCCATTCGGACTCCTTTAAAAATTATCCACTTGAGATTCACCCTTCTGTCTAAAATAAGTTCCTGAAGAAAAAATTTTGTTTCTCCTGCAGAAACCCCAAAAATGCCACTCTAGGGACCACTCTGGCGTTCATGTTTCGCCCCAAGCCGAAACCCCCGACAGGACCTCCCCCCATGTTAGAAAAAAGTTTTGTCTCTCCTACAAGGGTCTCTAACTAGTAAGGTTGCCACTCTAGGGATCCCTCTGGGTTTCCTAAGTCCTCTCCAAACCAAAGCCATCAGAAAGCATATTTGTCTCTCCAACAAGAGCCCCCCAATGGTGCCACTCTAGGGACCACTACTGAGCCCATAGGGAAACAATTATGTCTTTAAAATGTTTTTTGCTGTCTACAAAGGTGAATCGAGAATTCGATACGAATAGCTACCGGATAGCAACTTTTGAAAAAGTCAATCGGCGGATGGTAATCGGTGGTCGTTTGTATGCGACCGGGTACTATTTCTATGGTACCTGAGTCGGAGGTCGATGTAAGTAGCGACCGGGTAGTTACCTGACACTCGCTATTTCTTTCGGAAAGTCTGGAATTGCTTCCCGGGTCGTTATTTTTTGTTTCAGCTTCATCCAATAAGTCCCTGGAAGGCTTGGGAAGGTGTAAAAAAACACTGATGCTATGTAAACGACCGATGTGCTAGCCAGTGGCAATCGCGAATTTCAGGTACCTACCCGGTAGCATCCAGATACCGACCAGGTACTATCCAGGTACCATAGAGATAGTACCCGGTCGCATACAAATGACCACCGATTACGATTCGCCGATCGACTGGAGTTGCTACCCGGTACATACTTGTATCTACCTCTCGAGTCACCAGTGTATAGGTGACACCAAGGGGGTCCCTAGAGGGATGCCTTAAATAGCCCCTGACGTTGCCACTTTAGGGACCACTCTGGCGTGTCTCAGTGCTGCCCAAATCAAGAAAACAGCTTGTGTCCACTACAAGAGCCCCTACAATTTTCACTCTAGTGACCACTCTTGCGGGTTTCAGTTATGTTCAAGACAACAGATTGTCCAAAATGTTCGGAGAGGAAGGAAAGGAAGACTTTCTGGCTTGCGGCCATTGGATTATCCGCCAGGAGCGGCCCCAATACGGTCGTCGTCGGCTCGAGTGCCGCCGCCGTCCGTTGAAATCCTCAGCCCGACGAGTGTCCCTCTTATTTCCTTTCTTTTTCCCCCACTTCCTATTCAATTTTTTGTCTGTTCGATGGCTTTAATGTCTTAGCCCGTGTCTGAGATATATCTATTGTCGGTTTTTTTTTCGATTTTCAACAGTTGGTCCAGCTTTTTTTTTTCCTTCTTCTATCTAACTATTCGGTTTTTATAGCTTCAATTTTCTAATCCTGCCGGACAAAAAAATTTTCTCAGCCCATAATGAAACTTCTGAATAAGACCAGGTTCACTAGATGTAGTTTTTCACGGTGATTCCGAATCTGTGCTTAAAAGTTGCCAGTGATGCCTGTGGGAAAAGTTAGGGCCTCTCAAAGTAGGAAAAATCGGTGAGCTGCTTTATATATGGTGCTGTTCCACTGGTAACAAAGAAAAAGTGAGATAAATCTATTGTCGATTTTTTTTTTTTTGATTTTTTTTGACTCCAAGGTACAGTTCTCACCCAGTTTAAGCTACATGATCATTTTTGGAAGCTTTCAGTTTTTTTTTGGACTTTTTTTCTGATCAAAGAGTTCATTTTCTTTCAGTTCTTCCTTGCTTCCCAAACAAAAAAGATATCAAAAATCCAAAATTGTCACCGGATTTTTTTTTTGATCTTTTTTGGCTGTATCCAGAAGAAACTTCCAGCTTCTTTTTGAAAAAAAATTTTAATCTTTAATCTGTTTTTTTCCTGTTTAGGGTTTATTGGCCACTAAACTAGTCGAATTAGAGGTCACTTAAGAGGCTAAAAATTAGTAGCCCCTTTAAAAGTCTAATTAGTACCACTAGGCCACTAAAAACTACTATAGTGACCACTAAGACACAAAATAGTGGCTTCTATAGAGGTGGTCCTAGTGATCACTTTAGTGTCCTCTCAAAGTAGTCCTTGAGGAATCTCTTAAGTGACCACTAGAGATTTTCCCAGTTGAGTCCTTTAACTGAAATCTTCACTTCGAAATTCACATTTTTAAATTTTGAAAAATCGATAAATCGTTTAACTGAGGTTAGAGCCTAATTTTAGCGATCCATTCACCTCAAAACTTCAGAATAATCCTATACTTCAAGTTTTTTTTTAGATCTTTAGTCCCACCCCAATGACTCACAGGCCCTCCTTCCACCCAGCATTTTTCAAAAAGCCTCTTTTCACCTCGAAAAAAAATGAATCGTACCCATGTCGGGTCGACCGAAAAGGGATTGATATTTGCAAAAGGTTGGCTGATTGGGAAAAAGGCGGCTTTTTGTTTGCCCAACCCGGATTCGCCTCACTCTTCGCTGACCCCAACTTTTACCATGAATATTCCGATTTGTACTGTACATTTCTTCACTTTTCGAGAATTTCGAGCCCTTTCAACAATTTATTATCATTCCTGGAAAAAGCGGATCAACTTAGATTTCTGCTTTTGGATGATTTCCAGCGGCTTCAGTTCAATTTGAACCTGTACAAAAAGTTCTCGTCATTTCTGGAATGTTATTTTGTATTCTGCTAATTTATAAATTCGATAAAACTCAAAAACGAGCATTTTGTTACTTTTCGAAAAATTTAACAAGGAAAATTGGGACAGGTTCGTACTGATTTCACTGTTTCAATTGGTTCTTAAATAACTTGGAAGGTCCATTTTTCCATGATATCATGACGCCACTTCATTTTTTTCTAAAATAATCCGAGTCTCACAGCTCTTTATTTTTGAGCTTTTTTTCACTCTTTATAAGATATTTTTTTGAATTCGAGTACGTCTAACTTTTTTTCTTGGTTCGAAACTTTGATTTTTTTATCTGCTTGATAAAATCTGGATTTTCATATAATAGCTAGAAAGCTAAAAAGCGATTTCTTCGTGATTTTGTCATTTTTTGAAGGAGGAACAATGAAAATTTGAAGGTTTTATAGTTCGATTTGCCTAATTTAGACCACTTTCTTTTCCAAATCGGTCTGAATAACGTGAAAATCTTCTATCGACAAAAATAGTAGCAAAAAAGTGTTTATTTTAAAAGTGGTTTTTTTTTTCAAGAATTACACTTTTTTTTCCGATTTTGAAAGTAATTTTCCTCGTTTCAAGCCGTCGATTCAATTCTGAAGCCTAGAATCCGTAAAAAAAAATTCGAAATTTTGAACATTAGAACGGTAAACCAAAAATCAGTCTTTTCCAAGAAATACATCTTTTTTTCGATTTTCGGAGCCATTCTGATCTCTCATACGCTCCTGGAGACTGGAAATCCTATAGTAAAAAACTTCCTAAATGCCGACCTTGATCAATTTCTGTTTAAATTGGTCTAAAATAGCTTGAAAATTATCTAAACGAGAAATTTTGACAGAGTTGTATTCACATTCAAATCAGCTTTTTTTCAAGGAATCCCCTTCCTTTTACGTAAACTAAAGTTGTTCTCATACGCCTTTAAAGACAAGGAATCCATGTCCCAAAAAGGCCGAATCAAGCCAAAAAAGGAGTCTTTCGCATTGTTGCGCGATTGTTTTCTGCCACGACGAGCCTGAGTCAAAAATATGTCATTCACAAGGTTTTTCCTCCGAAATCAACGTCTTCGGGTCGTCGGAGAAAAACAGTGGAGGTCCATTGGAAGGCGGGGAGAATCCGCTTCCTTCTGATCTACTTCGATCCACTCCTTTTGTCTTGTTTCTTACTGACTAGTGCTTGCAAAACCTTCAAATTTTTCTGATAACTTATGTTCAGGGCACGCCTAGGGCCGGCCCGGCAGCCTTTGAATTTTTCCTGAGCCCCTGAAGGCCCGGGTTTGTGAATTGCGAATTTCTTCTCGTCAGATATCACTTTTCCACAATTCGCGTTTTTGGTTCCTATCGTGAAAAATTAATACATTAAATGTACGTTTTCGTTCAAAATCAAAGTTAGATGAAAGAACTTTGACATAATTCAAATATTATTTCGAAGCTAAGGTAATTTGGGAAGCTTCTGCTTTCGGTTCTTCGAAAGACTTTTGGGAGCATTCCAGCAAGTGGTCGAACGCCTTCCCTACAGCTTCCCAACAGTTTCTATTTTAAAAAAACCTTCCAGAAGCATTCCAGCAGGCTTCTGGCAGGCATTTTCCATTCTTACCTTCAAAAGACCTTTCAACTACCTTCCGAACGCCTTTCAAAGACCTTCCAGCTCCATTTACCTTCCAACCTCCTGCTGGTTACCTTCCGAACACCTTCCCAGGATGTACCTGAGGGCAAGGCATTTTCCATTCCTATCTTATCTCCCAAAGACCTTTCAAAGAACCTTCCCAAGAACTTCCAGCTTCCATTCACCTTCCAACCCTGCCGGTTACCTTCCCAACACCTTCCGAAGAGTTGTCCGACGAGGGAGGTGTGTGAACTGAACATCGCAGACATTGGTCAAACTTTATTGATAGGTAGTCCAAAGAAGGTTTACTCGAAAACAGAAAAAAATTATCTGCTAGACGCCATAGGGTACTGAAAAATAGCCCGTCGAAAATGAACAGAAAAACCTTAGGAACTAATTTTCTTCGAATTATATTACTCTAAAGAATTGATGTAATTCACTGTATCATAAGAAAAACGAGGAAGCAACTTTTTCTATAAAAAATGCAAAGAATTCGTTTTTGAGCTTTTCCTGTACATTTTCGACGGGCTTTTTCTCAGTACCTTGTGGCGCTTAGCAGATATTTCTTTTTTTTTTCGAACACTCTTACCTGGGACTACCCATCATACACTCGGACCTTGGTAACGCGAACGGGACACAAATCGGACGTGTCGGGGCATTTCTAGTGACCACTTTAGTAGACTCAGCACTCTCAAGTGATCCCTAGAATCGCCCAGAAACGTCCGCGTCCGTTTCGTGTTACCAATGTCCGAGTAAGTTTGAACCCTGATGCTCACCTCACAAAATTTCTTTGTGAGAAGCCTGGTCTGACCCAAGGGGGCCTTTCTCAAGAAATGATTCCCCAATATTCTTTCAATAACTCTCAAATTCATTATCTCTTTTCTGCCTTTTTTTTTTTTTTTTTGAAATACCGACATTTCCAATGTTCAATCGTTTTGACAGAAAAAAAAATTTTTGAACCGTTAAATTTCATGAATTTTTTTTTCTAAAGTCATGTTTCAGAATGCTCTCTTCAAACTTTTTAATACGACGAATATTCGCTCTACTTCTCTATTTTGCAACTTACGGTATGTTCGAATGAGTTACTGTGACAGATAAATAATACTGGGAAGTTTCCAAAAATTGTTTTAAAAAACATCTGAATTTAGGCTCACTGAAATCAAAACTCTGCCGAAAGACAAAGTTTTAGGATTCTTCATGATCTTTTCAAAGTTTTAAAATTAAAAATATCGATTTTTCCTCCATTTGGGTCAGTTTTGTCTCTTGAAATTTGATAAAATTGGAAAAGACGAATTTTTTTTTCCGAATCTGAATAGGTACAAACTTCTACAAGTATGTTTCAACTACAAGGCTCTTTTTAGAAGCTTTTCATTTTAAAACTCGATTTTCTATCATTTTTTAGGCGACACCTGCCAACCGCCAATGTCTTCCTATCAATACTCGGCACAGCCTCAAACCGTTCCGGCTTCTCCCGTTTTCACCCCCGGGTCCAGCTCCTTCGGTAGGCCTATCTTACTGTTACAGCTTAAGAAAGTTCGAAACTTTTGTCGGTCCTCAGCGAAAATTCTTAGGCTTTATCCAAAAGGCACCTAGGATCGTCAGAGTGGTCACTAGAGGGGTTAGGTGAACAAAATCCCTAGAGGGCTAAGATATAGGTGGTCCCTATAGGAATTTATAATCTGATTCCTAGGCCGCTAAATCTTGAGTAGGCCCTATAGGGGTTTTTAATTCATATATGTTTCTATTTGACATTGAAAAAGACGCATGAAGGCCACTAACCCCTCGATTGGCCAGTAATTAAAATTCCTGGAGAGGCCACTTTTGCAAGCTTTTTCTGCCCCCGCCCCCCATATGGGCATTTAAGGTGAGGGGATCTTTCAAGGGCCCCTCAGGATGCCCCTCTAGGGAGCACTAAGGCGTTCCCGAGCAGTTAAACTTCGATTATTTCCTCAAGAATATACTTAGGAACGCCAGAGAAGTCCCTAAAGGGGCCACTTTTGCAAACTTCAATGTCCCTTATAGGGAACGGCTAAGTAGTCCCTAGAGGGGAAATTTTCATTTTCCTACAAATTATATATTTGAGGAGGGTTTTCTTTTCCCAACTTTCCCAAATTCAGGCGGATCGCAAGCCTCTTCTGGTAATTCTGGAGCATCAAATTCCCAAATTCCACCTCTGCCGATCGGTTCAGACGGTCAGGAACTCGAAATGATCAACGCCAAGGTGAAATTCATCATATTTTCGCGACTTGAAAGGAACTTCTATGCGCTCTCTCCCTCTCACGGCGACCCTCTCATATTGACGTGCTATTTTCATGTTTCTCTGACCTCGCCGGTGAGGGAACAGAGAGACGCAGAGAAGTCAGACTGGTTGTCGTCGCAGAGAATGCACCATAGCTCATTATGTAGCCCATATTTTGCGACTCTCTGCGCCCTCTCCCTCTCTCGGCGACCCTCTCATTTCTACGCGCTATTTCAATGTTTCTCTGACCTCGCCGGTGAGGGAACAGAGAGACGCAGACACTCGGAAACTTTCAAGTCGCGGCGAATGGACTAAAAGCAAAAATCATACAATTTTTTGTGTCCTTAAGGTGACGCCATATCCCGGTTACGTAGCCCCTCCTCCAGCTCCAGACTTCCCCACTTTAATTGAGAATACGGATTCAAGCCCCGATGAAGAAAATCCCGAGGTTTGTTATTTTATTGTATGGGTTTTATTGAGTCCATTAAAATTTAGATGTTTAGAATCTACATTTTTTTTTCCCAGAAAAAGCCACATTTCTCCAACTTTTTGGAAAATCACTCTAGTTATAATTTTTTCTGATTTAGTAACGTTTTAAAGTCGAAAAACTGTCCTGATACGGCGAATTTGGAAGTAGTCGGCCAAAAAAGGTGCCCCTCTAGGGACCACTTCACCTCCACGTATAGCGGGCACTGAAGCCTGCAAAAGTGGGCCCTATAGAGGCTTTTTTCTCTCTAACCCCTGTAGGGCCCACTCTGGCGCTCCTAAAGAGTTCATTCTTCAAAAAAAGATCCGAGAAAGGTCATGTAGTCCATTGAAAATCGAATTAACTCAAAATTGATGCTAAAAATATTTTAAAGACACCATTTTTCGAGTTGCTGATGATTTTTTAAGATTTTTTTCCCACTCAGACCTTTTTTCCGTCTGTCTCAAGTGATTTTCCACGGAAAACTCTAAAATTTCGGTTGTAAAATGCTTTGAATTTAAAAAAATCCTCTTATTCTCCTTCCCACAGACCGTCCAAGCGAATCTCGTCTCCCAACAAGGATCTCAAACTCTAAAATCATCCAAACCACTTGACCTACTACCTGCAGCTCAATCAACGTCAGGTAGGACTTTTAATTCGAATAATATGCATAATTTTGTGAAATTCAAGATTATTCCTCCTGTCCGGCCGAGCTGACCACCTTGAACTCTTTTCTAATGTGCATCAAAAGATTGGCTCCAATGGCTACGGACGAAAAAGTCTCGACTTGCACTTTTGATCAGACTTCTTCTTGTCGGTAAGAAACTCAAAAAAGAATATAATGAATCCAAAAAGGTTTGAGGGATGAAAAACTACTATAGTGGTCACTAAAAACAGAACTACTTAACTGGGAACGCTCTCAGTGGCTACTTTAGGGTTCTGAAGCTTTAGTGGCCACTATAGTAGTCGAACTAGTGACCACTTAAGTGGCTAAACGTAAGTGTTCTCTTTAGAAATTTAAAAGGTACTACTAGGGCCCTCAAACTACTATAGTGGCCACTAAGAGGCAAAATAGCGGCTCCTTAAGAGGTGATTTTAGTGACCACCTGAATGTCCTTGGGATACCTCTTTAAGTGGCCACTGACATTTTTCTCTGTTGAAAAGATTTCAATCAATAAATTCAAGTTATCTTAAGAGAAAGTGCGCTCCATTGCCAATTTCTCTTATAACGCGAATCGAACGTTTCAAAACAATCCTAGCGTCCACTTCAGTGGCCACAGAACCCTTAAGTGATCCCTAAAGTTGCTCAGAAGTCCGGTTACCCCGGGAGCTATTAGATTCTTAAAAAAAAAAATTATCTTCTTTTCTGGATCTACTGTCCTTCCGAAGGACTTGAAACAGTCTGAGCTGTCTGCGTCTCTTTTCCCTCGCCGGAGAAGTGATGAAAATAGCGCGTAGAAATGAGAGAGCGCAGATAAATCAAAACTTCTGCGTCTCGGGGTACTTAGAACACTTGAAAAGAAATCTCCAACTTAAAGATTTCAATCGATCGCCGCTCCGCTGAGCGTTGGAAGCCTGCCAAGCCCCGCCCACTACCGTAATTTCGCTGCGATATCTTCACGCCAAGAGAACATGCCACCGCAGGATAATTTCGTCTTCCTTGTTGAATATCGAGTATTTCACGCAAGTTGAAAAGTGAATAAGTGATCACTTAAGGGAGCAAGAGCCGAGGACGAATTTATGCTCTCCACTTCGATCCGGTGTCAAAAAGGCAACGGAATTTTGAAATTCGAGTAAGGTTGAAAGTGCGCTCCATTGCTAATCTCACTTTCCAGCTACTGGATCCTCGGGAATCCCAATGACGTCATCATGCGGGTGTGTACATCGGACTCGACGTCCAGGTCTTGTACTCAGGTATTTCCCGGGCCGCGACGCGACCGCGACGCGTCATTTTCAGGCGATCGTCTACACGGCTTCTCCTACGGTAACCGTGGAAGTCGTCAATCCCAACACTACGGTGTTTGACGTTCAAATCGTTGCCTCCAACTTGATTTCGCCGACCGTCATTACCTTTGATAACCTTATCTACCAGGCTGATCTATGCGATGCTGAGAAGGTAAGATGAGCAACAGAGGGTGTGAAATGAGCAATATCGAGAGTAAGAGGAATGCTTTAACAGTGTTTATCACAAGAAAAATTCAACCTTTTTCTTCAAAAATGACCAAGTAAAGTTCCTCATGGATTAATGACGTCATAACGAGTTTTTTGAGAATTATGACGTCATTTTGCGCTGATTAAGAAAAGTGATCTTGATCTTTGATAAAACTTGATCAGTGAATTCAGGTCCAATTTTTACTCTACCAGCAAGATTACTTTCAAATCAAATTAATCAAAAATAGCCGCCAGGATCCTCAAGCAAATCTGCTCCACTGATAATCAAAACTTTCTAGGGCGAAAAAAACGAAGATTCCGAAGCGGTCAACTCGTTTTTCGACGAAACTGTCGGAGATGCGCAGGAAGAGCCTAGGGACGAACTGAAGCCGATTTTCATTCCGGCTAGGCCGAAAAATCGTCCAGCTGTCGACAACGCCTTGGAGGATCAAGAAAATCGAGGTTCGGGGAAAAACTCTAGTGGCCACTTAAGTGGTTGCTCAAGGACTACTTGGAGAAGACACTAAAGTGGCCACTAAAACCAGCACTATAAAAAGCCACTATTCTGCGTCCCAGTGGCCACTAAAGTAGTTTTTGTGGTCTAGTAGTACCACCAAGACTTCTAAAGAGAACATAAGTTTTAGCCACTTAAGTGGAAACTAAAAATTCAAAACCCTCAAGCGGCCACTACACTTCTTGCTCTGGTAAAGAAAAAACTTCTTCAGAATCCGAAGAAGCGGACGAAGAAGCTTCAGAAGACGTCAGGTCTCAATCTTCCGAAGGAAAAAGTCTATGTGAACTTCTAAACTGCGATTTTGACAAGGATCTTTGTTCTTACTCAAACTATGAGAATGAGACAATGAGGTTTGATTTTTTCAGAAAGAGAGGTCTATTTTTTTTTTCCAGCCTTTCGAATTGGCAAATCGGGAATCATAGGGTCGGAAACCCTCATACTGGAGTTCGTGATCAGACTGGAGGTGAGAAAATTTGAAAAAATCATCGAAAAACTGATTTTTTCATTCTAAAATCAGTTTCGGGTTTCCAAGAACCTCTCGATGGAAAAAAAAAAAGATTTTTGTGAATAGTTTTTCGTTAAATTTCTTCTAAGTCTATCAAACCGACTTCTTTGACCCGCTTTGTCACGTTCTTGTCACATTTTTGTCTAACAGATTACTTCCGTCTAAATCTTAAAAAGGAATAGAAACTTTCCGATCATTTTTAAGGTTTTAAGGTCGGTCAAAAGTGAGATTTCTCGTCTCTATTTTTCCAATTTTCGTTTAAAAACTGATCTAGCTTTCCAATTTCACTCTATTTTGTTCAATTCTGACTAAAATTAATTAATGTTTTCCAGGATTCCTCTACGTTGGAACGGACAGTCGACAGCAGAAACTTGTGAATTACATCTTGGAATCAGCAAATATTACAGTGGAAGAGGATTTCCAACTTTCTCTGGACGTTTACCGGAGGTCAAATGATATCACCTTACAGGTACGTTAATTATTTCAGTCACTTTAGTTTTTTATCCGTGGAGCACATTTTGATTTTAAAAAAAACCTCTGCAAAGTTCTCTTTTTTCACTTAAGTGATAACTTTCTGGTTTGAGCTTATTTTTATCAGTGGAGCGCTTCGCGCTTTTCAAAAATAGCCGCTTTGAAAATCACTTTCTCTTTGCAAAACGGTGTTCTTACAGCAGCATAAAGCGAATGGCCGATTCTCAATCTTTTTTCCCTTAAGTGACCACTTTCCCATTTTCAGGTATGCCTCGATTCCCCATTCTACTGCCCTTATTCCGTTTCACCGTTCCAAAAGGAAGTCTACTGGAAGGAAGGCGAATTGTTCCTCATCCCTAAAGGGACCACTAAGGTAGTTTTTTCCCATGGTTTCCTATAATCTTAGAAAATTCCAGATCTACCTCCGAGCGATCCAATGGAAACGGTTCAAATGGCTGGCGATCGATAATTTGAAAGTTATTTCCAACAAATGCTGATTACCTCATTCATTGTTCTGTTATTTACTATGAAACCATCTTCAAATTGTGTCAAATAAATTATTTACATTAAAAAGTATGTATTTCTCCACTTATCACCGATCAAAACTCCCATGTAAGGCTAATATGGCGCGAGGAAACGAGTCCGCCCTCCGCAGCAGCGATGTCCGAGTGGTTAAGGAGTTGGACTTGAAATCCAATGGGCATTGCCCGCGTAGGTTCGAACCCTGCTCGCTGCGAACTCTTTTTTGCCTTTTTTTAAAAGCTCGCCAATACATTTATGCTCAATATTTAAACTGCCTGAGGGTCGTTATCAGAAAAGACGTCTTCTAAAAAATATTTTAAAGAATAATAAGAGTTTGCAAGCCTAAAAAGCTTGAAAATTACGCTTAAACTGAACTTCGTTCAAAAATTATAAGAAACCCGGTCAAGAAATGTTTCAAAATGGCTTTATAAATATAGTTTACATGGGCAATACTAATGAAGCCCCGAGGAGCTGGAAGAAAAATATAAATTTCTCGACTACAACGTAGTCGACTTTTATCATACAAAACGTTCCATCCCGGTTCATTTTGCTCAGTTTGTCAACTTTCTTCGATTTTTGTCGTTTTCATGTATGAAAAAAGCTTTTTTTGACGGTCATGAAAGTTCGTTTAAGCATAAAAACGCATTTTTCGAAAAAAACAATTTGTAAAATTTTTAAAAAAACCGCTTTAAACCTTCAGATCCCTCCACTAATTTCGATTTTTTTGTTATTTTTCGTGTCTAAGCAAAAAAACTTTTTGATTTTATGTAAAATGTCTAAAAAAATAGTTTTTTTCTAGGAGATTTGACGCTCAAGTAGTTTGATTTTTGAACATACGAGCGTATTTTTTTGGAAAAAAATGAGCGCTTAAAAAAATCTTTAAACTTCCGATAAATATCTGATTTTTTTAACTTTAAAGTTATTCGCAGCTTCGTCTTTTTTTCAAGAATTTCTTCTAATAATTAATAAATTTCCTGGTATTAAAATATCTTTTTTCTCAACTCGATCATCGGCAAAAAAAATACGAGCTGCTTATGATTATGAAGAAAAACTGATTTCCAGGAATTTTCGGAATTTTCCGTCAACTTTTCGAATTTTTAAAAGTTCTATATATTTTTCAGAATGTCACCCTACAACTACAAAACGTTGAAAGTCGAAAAAGTGGCGGATTTCGTGATTCGGGTGGCTTTGAACCGTCCAAGGGTGCTCAACGCAATGGATACTGAGCTTTGGGGGTGAGAATTATGTTTTGTAACTCGAAAAATTCGCTTGAAAGCTATGAAAAAAAGCTTCAAAAGCCGAAAAAATCTAACTACCGAGGAAAATTCCTTTGAAAAACCTGTGAAAAATCGATAAATTTCGTGTCAAATCGAACTATTTCAAAATCGACAGCCTTTCAGACCTGCTCCGGACGTTTCCGAGCATTTTTAGTACACACTCAAGTGATTACACCGCTAAAAGGACCACTAGAAAGGCTCAGAAACGTCCGGGGCGCGTCCGGTTTGCGCCACCAAGGTCCGAGTTTTGTAGTATTTTTTTTTTCCAAGACGAACTTGATAAAAAAAATTTCAGAGAAATCGGCGACGTATTCCTGAAACTCGACGAGGATCCCGACTGTCGAGTGGTCATTTTAGAGGCCGAGGGAGCGCATTTTTGCGCAGGACTCGATTTGACAAGTTTCTCGAAAATTTTCTGAAAAAGCACCTATTTTAAAATACCCTTGGTTTTTCTATCCCGAATCCTTAAAAAAAAGGGCGGCCGCATTTGGAATGGCTCAAAGTGCCGCGGTTGCGTTGCGGATGGAACCAAGCTTGAGTCAATTTCGCAGCTTATTTTTATCTATGGGTGTTTGCGCGAGTCGTTTCAGGTCGGGTGCAAATTTTCCGCAAAAAAAAAAAGATCCATCATCACATACAGTCTCAAGATTCGTTGAAAATGTTCATGAAAAAATTATTTTTTCTGAATATTTCTGGAGAAAATAAAGAGAATATTTGAAGACGGGGCTCTGGCGGGCCTATCGAACGTCGAAGAGGGCGAAGACGTCGCCCGGAAAGCCCGGAAAATCATGCGAATGGCCAAATGGATGCAGCAACAGTTCGTCAACATACAGAAGGCGGGTCGAGGAAGAAAAGTCGCGAAAAATGTCACCTACATTTCGTTTTCCCTCGAGTGATCCCTCAAGTCATTCTATACTTCGTTTTTGGAAACTTTAAAGGAATCCTGATCCCATAAGTGACCCCTCAAGTGATTTAATAGTCGATTTTGGCGACTTTAAAAGACTCCTGACCCCTTGAGTGATCTCTCAAGTGATTCGATTCTCCGTTTTGCCTAAAGTGATCCCTTAAGTGATTCAATAGTCCATTTTGGCGACTTGAAAGGACTCTAGACCCCTCAAGTGATCCCTTAAGTGATGCAACGCTCCGTTTTTGGCGACATCAAAAGACTCCTGACCCCTTGAGTGATCTCTCAAGTGATTCAATACTCCTTGGCTACTTGAACGAACTTCTTACCCTCAAGTGATCCCTCTAGTGTTTAAATAGTCGTTTTTGGCGACTTTGAAGGGCTCCTGACTTCTCAAGTGATCCCTTAAGTGATTCAATACTCCGTTTTTGGCGGATTTGAAGAGCTCTTGACCCCTTAAGTGATCCCTTAAATGAATCACTACTCATATTTTTGGCTACATGAAACGACTCCTGAATCCTCAAATGATTCCTCAAGTGGCCCCTCAAGTGATTCAATACTCCGTTCATGCGACTTTTAATGGGTTTTGACCTCTCAAGTGGTTCTATACTCCGTTTTTCGCTACTTGAAAGTACTCCCGATCCCTCGAGTGACCTCTCAAGTGATTCGATTCTCCGTTATCCCTAAAGTGATCCCTTAAGTGATTTAACACTTTTTTTTGCGACTTGAAAAAACTCCTTACCCCTTGCGTGATTCAAAACTCAGTTTTTGGCGACTTTTAAGGACTCCTGACCCCTCAAGTGACCCCTTAAGTGATTCTAAATTCCATTTTTCGCCACTTGAAACTGCTACATTTCCCTGCGCCCTCCTCATCTCTTTTCTTATGGAAACCCCTACAAGGATCACCTGAGCAAGCTTGAGTGGCGCCTATAGGGACAGGTGAAGGGGTCCCTAGAAAGGGAGCCTCCAGGGTTGCCCGGAAAGCGTACCTAACTTCTTATTGATCACATTTTTTCACCTTGAACTTTGCTTTTTTCTCATTGAAACTTGAAAAACAGAAACAGCGTACTGATTCAGTGTTCGAAGCCAGTGATCGCGGCGGTGCACGGCGTCTGCTACGGCGCCGGCGTTGACGTCATCGCCTCATGCGACATTCGCCACGCGACCAGAGACGCCAGGTTCTGCGTCAAGGTGCGTTGAACTCCAAAAATGGAAATAATTTTTCGACACTTTAAAAGATTTCCTTGCAATTTTCATGGAAGCGTCAAAGTTTAAGCGATGATATTATCATTGGTGAGAAATAACTATCAGAAAGAAAATAATCAGAAATTAAGTTCTACGGACGGAACGCATCTGATTGGCTACCGTAACCTTTTATATCCACTAGTTTTTTTCCATGGTATGAAAAAAAGACCAGCGAAATTTCAAACGGCGACTTTTCCGATAGGAAACTTTACGACGGTCACTTTTCCGCCGAATCTTTTTCTGACTTTTTTCTCGATTTACTTTTTGTTTTGAATGTTCCTATATAAGGTAGGCAAGTTTTTCATGATTAAAACACAAAAAAATAAGAAAAAAAAATTTTTATAGATGTTTTATAAACGGAAAAAAATATAAGGGAAAAAAGTCGGAAAGTTCCTTAGCGATATGAAAAAATCGGAAAAGCCGCCGTTCAAAAATTCGCTGGCCTTTTTTTCATACCACCGGAAATAAGAGAACTAGAAGGTTACGGTAGTCAATCAGATGCGTTTCGGCCGTAGAACTTAATTTTTGAAGCTCATTCTGCACACTTATTTTTTTCTTGGTTTTTTTCAATTTTCCTGAAGTTTTGGACTAAATGTGTGACTGCCTAATTTTGCACGAAACTACCTATTTTCAGGAAGTCGACGTCGGGTTGGCGGCGGACGTCGGCTCGCTCAACCTTCTGCCCAAAATCTGCGGGAATGAGAGCTGGCTGAAAGAGGTTTCTCATTGTTTCAATTTTTTTTGGAAAAAAGAATTATTGACTTAATGTGTGAGATTTTTTTCAAACGTAAAAAAAGACAAAAAAATGAATCTTTTTCGAGTACTTTTCGAGTAAAAAGGACTTTTTCAGAACAAAAAAGTGTCTTTCCCGATTTTAAAATCCAAATACGACGCTTGGAAAAAGACGTTTTTTCATATTTTTGTGTAATTTAGGGAACTCGACTACGAGGCAAAAATCGAGAAATATTATTTTGGAGTTTAGCAAACTCCGTCAAATTTTGAACGGGGGACAAAAAAAAATTATGAAAATTTTTCAGATCTGCATTTCCGCCCGGCCCTTCGACGCAGAAGAAGCTTTGAGATTCGGTAAAAATTCATGTTTTTTCATCAGCGAAACCCTCTAGGGGTCACTTCAGATCTTAAATTCGTATTTCTTTTCTCGCTGATCTTCAAACTACTGTCAAACTCTTTTAAAACCCTCTAGGGGTCGCTACAGATTCAAATTTTGGATTTTCTACTTCCTACTTCTCACATCTACTGTTAAATACTCTTAAAACCCTCAAGGGATCACTTCAGATCTTAAATTCGTATTTCTTTTTTCGCTGATCTTCACATAAACTTTCAACCACTTTCGAAACCTTCTAGGGATCACTACAGATTTAATTTTCGGATATTTTATTTCCTACTTCTCAGATCTACTGTTACATACTTTTAAAACCCTCAAGGGACCACTTCAGATCTAACTTTCCAAATTTTTTTTCTCTGATCTTCAGATCTACTTTTAACCACTTTTGGAACCCTTGAGGGGTCACTTCAGATCCAAATTTCGAATTTTTCCAGACGTACTCAATAAAATCTACGAAACACGGGAAGAAATGCAACGAGAAGTCCGAAAATTGGCCTCCCTGATCGCCAGCAAGACTCCAGTGGCCACTCAAGGGACTAAGGTGGAGCTTTTTTCAAAGAAATAATGACTTTTTTGTGATATTTGAGGAAAGAAGAGTTTTGATGCTTAGAAAAAAGTTAAATCGAAAGAATCGTTGGGAAAAAATCTAGTGGTCACTTAAGTGGTTCCTCAAGAAGTACTGGGGAAGGAAACTTAAGTGGCCACTAAAACCAACTCTATAGAAGCCGCTATTCTGCGTCTTAGTGGCCACTATAGTAGTTTTTAGTGATCTAGTAGTACCCCTTAACTCCTTAAAAAAAGCACTCAAGTGGCCACTAATTTGACTACTCGAGTGACCACTAAAACGTCCAAACCCCTGAAGAGGCCACTCAAACTTTTTCCTAGCAAGGATTCTGAAAAAAAATTGTTTTTTTCTGTTGTTTTTTTCTCCTAAGAAATTCAAGAACGGAAGGCCGCAATTATTATTATTTTTTTATTAAAAAAATAAATATTTCCAGATTGTTCTCAACTACGCCCGCGATAATACTGTGGACAACAGTTTGAATTTTTGTCGTAAGTTTTTTTAAATGCTACGTTATTCACTGAAAAAAACCATGAGTTAATATCAAAAAAATGCGAAAAAGTCGCCTTTTTTTCAATATAAAAACAAAAAAACCTCATTTTTTTACAGTTTTTTCCATTTTGACCCCAAAAGGTCGGTTCAAAAAAACTCAATTTTTCTACATTTCGAACAGACTTTTTGAGATAAATATAATGACTGCCTTATTTGGTTTTTGAATCTATAATTTTTCTAATTACTCAAAAATTGGATTTCCCGGAAGGCTGTCAAAAAAATTTGGGTCCTACAACGAGACAGCGACTTTTAAAAATTGATTGAAAAATGCCCGAAAACCCCAAAATTTTGAATTTGCTTAAAGATCCGCCACTTCGTTGTAGGACCTATTTTTCTAACGGCTCTTCGAAACGAATAAAACGTCAATTTTTGAACGGTTGTTTTTGAACGGCATTAAATCCTATTCGCGTCAGCTTGTCACGATTTATACTTTTCTCCAAGCTATCTTCCCTTCGAAGCGCGTGGCCCGTCAGCGAGCATGCGCCTTTAATATACCGGCCATTTCTATGCTAATTTAAAGGCACAGGTCGAGCGTTACAAAGGGAACTAAAAATCATGACAAGCTTACGCGGAATGGGCAATAACTAAAGTTTTAACACTTAAAAACGTCAAAAAACTAAATTTCAAGCATTCAGGCGGCCTGGAACGGCTCCCAAATAATGACCGGGGACATTCAATCGTCCGGACTGGCCGTTTTGTCCAAACAGCCGCATCCGCCATTTTCAAAACTTTGAGTTCACATGTAAAATATCAGGAAATAAACGAGTTTCAACTGAAAGTACCAGAAAAACACGCAAAAACTTTTTGCAAAGCTTTTATGAATCTTTAGAAAAAAACAACAGGTAACAATAAAAGGTATTCGAAAGTAACTGCGCAAGGTCCGATAAATTGTTTGAGAAAATAAATATTCGGAAGAAAAAAGGCACAAAAAGAGGGAACAAGAAATACAGACAATTTAAAGGCCGAAAAAACAGAATTTCGCGTGAAAAAAGGGTTAAAGAGTTGAGTATTCAGTTATATATAAGATTGATTAAAATGAGGAACATGGAGGAGAGCGAAAATAAATGATGAAACAGGGTGATGAGAGAACTTTTTTTCTAGCGGACGAGGTGGTTGATGACTTCGGAGAAGGCCAAGCCACACACGATTCCTGCGAAAAAAAAAACTTTTAATTCAGAAGTTAAAATGAGCCAATGAAACTCAAGCAAAAGTTAAAAAAAAAGCGGTTTTTCCATTCTCTAACTAAACATTTTAAAAGCGAGTCATTTTTTAAGCCGTTAGATGTGCAGGTTGAAATATCAATTCCCAAAAGCCCTCCATTTTCATTAAAAAACCCCGACATTTTTAGGTCATAATAAACATATTTTTTTGCTTCAAAAAAAGTAGATACTTTTTAATTTTTAAACTTAACTGGAGCGCTGAAAAAATGTGAAAAATGTATTTTTGAACAATTTCAAAGAATGGCTCATTTTTAAGCCGTTAGATGTGCAGATTACCTCATCCATTCCAAAAAACTTTCCGTTTCAATCGTCATTAAAAAAGAAAACTCGGACTTTGGTTAATATTATTTTATTATTGCTTTAGAAAAATAGTTATTGATTTAAAATTCAATTTCTGATCTGAAAAAAAATGAATCACCGATTTTCTCAAACCTAGCTTCTAGGTCACCTAAAACACAAAAAAAGAGTAAAAAATAAGTTTTTATAGGATTTTTCGCTTTCATGCTCAATTTCAAACGGTTATTCCCTTTTTTCAAGAATATTTTTTTGAAAATCTTTGCAGAAAACACTCTAACTGCATGAAAAATCGTATCCCTCCGAAAAAATTACCGAGGATCAGGAAGAATCCGGCCATCATTCCGGCGATACGGGAACGGTCCGGCTTGACGCTTCTGTGGAGAAAAAATCAATTTTTGCCGCTTTTTTTTTGGAAAAAATTTACCTGGGAGCGTACATCATGATGAGGCAGGTGAGGTAGCCGCTAGACAGAGCCATCAGGGAGCCGTTGATGACGTAGAGCCAGGTCGAGGGGAACAGAACGCGCAGGTTTCTGTTGAATGGCAATGGTATAGGTTCCATTCAATTTCCAACCTGCTGCTGGTTAGTAACCAGAATTACCTTCCTAGGACTAGCCTGAGCTTTTAAAATATATTTCAAGCCATTTTGGGCTTTTTTCGAAGAACCACAGTTAAAGAAAAAGTGGGTGTGGCCGGATTTTATGCGTTAACTTTTTTAACCTAGGCATCATGATAGAAAAAATTGGAAAAAAGCGAAATTTTTGAGCTTTTGTGTGCAAAAAAGGCAAAAAATTAGAAGAGACATGAAAAAAGTCTATAAAAGTCAAGTCGAGAAAAAAATCTTGTTAAAAACAAAAGTCAAAATGATTTTTTTTTTTTTGACAAAATTACGGACGACAAACCAGAAAAATTCTTTACCGCTACTATAAAAGCTTGGAAAACTCGGATCCTAAGGAACTGAAGCTTTTTGATGAAGACTTTCCATTGTATCATCGTCTTTTCAACTTACTAGGAAACATTTTAACTTTTTTTGAACCTATTTCTTAATTTAAACCTCCTAAAAAGCACTTTTTCGTTTGCTAAACCTCTTTACGACATCGTAGTTGCAGAAGGGGAAGTAGAAGAGCCAAAGGGCGCGGACGACGACCGGAATCCAGATGTTGCGGGGTCCAAACTGCAGAAAAGCCCCGTTCAATTTTGGATTCTCCACAAATTTCCTCACAATCTGAACATAGTTGGCGATCATGGATCCGATGAAGGCGAAGAGGTTAAAGTTGAGGAACGTCGTCACGTCCATGAAGTACTTCTCTTCAAAGAACCTTTCATTTTTCGCTTAAAACTCCTATTTTTCAACCAGAAACGATAAAATTGTAGGGCTCGTTCTTTCCATTGTCCGTGATTTTCGTCTGGATGTTGGGGAAAATCGCGAGGGTCACGAAAAACAGGAAGAAAATGTTGAAGAGCTGTCCCTTGGCCTAGAAATTGGATGCTTATATAAGGAAATTTTTTTAGTGTTTTCATATTTTTTGCGCCCTTTTCAGTTCGCATTTTTTTGAAAGTCTTCGTAGAAATTAATAGAAAATTTTGAAAACGGTAAAAAAAGTATCTCATTTTGCTTCCTTCTTATTGATTCAATAGTCAACTTTCTGAGAATGGCTTGCGATTTTTCAGGAAAAACTTTACGAACAGGAACTTATCTAATCAACTCAAAAATGCAAAATTATTCAAACATTCAATCAAAGTTCTCATCGAAATCAAGTGTAACATATTTTTTTCACCTGAGAACTGTCAAATTTGCGAGGACACCCCCTATTATTATTATAGTTTTTGACTTCCACGGACATCTTTGAGAGTTTATTCAAAAGTTGGAGTATCTGATCGACCGAAATACAACATTTTTCTCTCAATCTGTCAGAAATTTCATCAAAATCATTTTTCAATAATCCAACTCTTGTTTTTCACTCAAAAAACTGTCGAATTCTAATTGGGGAACCACGCGAATTCGTATTCACGTATCGAGTTCAAACTTTGGTGGCTGAAAGATCTAAGTAAGGGTACTTAAAAACAGGCAATACTATCTGCTAAACCAAACAAGGTACCGATTGTATGAAAATATACAATAAGGTAAAAAGCAGTATTTTGAAATTTTTCAAGCCCAATCTGCACATTTTCTACAAATTATTTATCAGTTTTTTATCGGGTTTGGCAGATTTTCTCTTTTGTTTTCAAATATTCTGACTTGGGTCTATAAAACACCAAAGTTTCAAATCGATCCGCGAAAACGAGTTCGCGTAGTTCCCTAGTCAGTGGTCAACTTTTTTTCGGAAATTTTTCGCGATTTTCATGATATTCTTGGAAAAGTGACCAAATTACTGGAAAGTTGAGGAAATTCGAAATATTTTAAACTTTTTTTTTCTAATTGATACGGTAAAAAAACCGGTTTTTTTGAAAAGTTTAGCAATCAAATTTTTTTGAAAAATTCACACAATATTCATAAAAAAATTTTAAAACTTCTCACAAAAAGTGAGCAAAAAAATTTGGTCTAATCAGATTTCTTTCCTATTTTTTTAAAATTTCAAACTCTCAAGGAATTATTTATGATTTATTTTTATACCTCGTATTTTTAATGAATATTCCAGGACTTCTTTGAAAGTCTTCTTATGAGTAAAACAGCTATTTGAACTATAAATTTCGTGAAATCAAGTCAAATTAACAACCGAAATCAACTATTGAACAAAAAAAAAGTTTCAACGTTCAATTTTTCTTCTCCCTATCATACTTCCGGATCTATCCAAATTTTTCCGGAAGGCATTTTTTTTTTATTTCCCCAGGACCTCTTTGAAGGTCTCCAGATAGGTCTCCCAGGTGCTGCGTTCCTCAACGGCCTCGATCTCGACAAGTTCAACTCTTTCAGTTTCCGTGGCGCCATCCGAAGTGGTTTTCTGGACGTCCCGTTCCAGCATTCGGATCTTCAAAGTTCAAAAATAGATCAAATATATATTTCTGGTCGACGAACACTGCGGAGATCGACCATTTCCTCCTTCTTCTGGGTGTAGAATCGGTAGAAAGGCAGCCGTTTGAGGACTTGGATGCTGACGAGGCAGGAAATCAAGACAGCTAAGGAGATCGTGAAGTAGGCGACTGCGCGGGTTTCTACGGTGCTAGCGGCTGGAAATTTGGATCAAATCGGTCTGAATTTCATGGATTTTCAGAATTTCCTAGAGTCCACTTGAAAACAAGAAAGCATTCAGAGCAAAAAAAAAAACCCTGGCCTCTCATATTTTCAACGCTCTCTAACTTTTGAACCTTCGGAAGCTAGAGAGCACTGGTAAACAAGAGGGCTCAGAGAAAGATAGTCTGGCCTCTCATATTTTCAACGCTCTCTGACATTCGAAGATTCATCAAACATTTCAAACCTAATTAGTTCGATTACGGATTTTTCTAAAGTCCTAGAGAGCATTTGTAAACAAGAGAGCGTTCAGAGAAAAAAAAAGCTGCTCTCTCATTTTTGAACGCTCTCTAACTTTAAAAAGCTCAAAAACTAGAGAGCACTAAAAAACAAGGAAGCGTTAAGAGAAAAAAAAACCCTGCCTCTCATAATTTTAACGCTCTATAACTTTCTAAGATTCGGAAATTTGAAAATTTTAAATCAAATCAGTTGGATTATATACAAGAATTCGTAATTTTCGGTGTTTCTATACAAAAATCGGTTCCTTTTACCGTGTTTCGTATAAAAATTCCAGATTTTTCCACAATTTTTCAAAATCTCAGTGTTCTTCGCACCAGCTTTGGTGAGCATTCCGATGATAGTAATCAGAGTTCCGCAAAAGTTTTGGCCGATAATGACGGCGTTGGTGTATTTGAAGGGGAAATCCGAAACCAGACCGAACATGCTGTAAAAAATCATTCTTTAAAGAAATCTTCGTTTTTCGTTAAAACCTGTTCTGAAAAACGCCGTTGGCTCCGTTGAGGATGATGATGGTGAACAGGGTGAAGTAGAAGAATTTGCCCATGTCTAAATTCATTTTTTTTTTAACTTTCAAAATTAACTTCGAGAAATATTTTTTCAGATAAGATCTCAAATTTATTCTCATTCAACTCAAAATGCCGTGATAAGCAATTTTAAGGACACTCTGCGAAAACTTTAGGTGGTCCCTATAGGGTTTTGACGTTTTAGTGGCCACCATAGTAGTCTAATTAGTGGCCACTTAAGGGGTTAACAACTAGTGGCCTTTATAAAGGTCTAAGTGCTACTACTAGACCACTAAAAATTTTAGTGGCCACTTTAGGGATCAGTGGATCACCATAACTGATCCAATCTGTTTGTTTTAAAATTATCAGAGTTACTGGAAGGAATACGGGATGAAAAATTACTGAAGTGGCCACTGAAACGGAAAATAGTGGCCACTTTAGTGTCCTCTCCAAGTAGTCCTTAGCAAACCTCTATAGTGGCCGCTAAAGTTTTTCCCAGCCGTTTGAAAAAAATCCAGATTTTAATAGTCTATGGTGATTTTTTTCTGTTAATTTCCAAAAAAATACTTTTCCTTCCTTTAATTTAAACTTTAGAACAAGTAGATACGATTTTTCGCTTTCGAATTCCAGAACAATAAACTTTTTTAATCTATTTCTTTTTCTTCCTTATAGATGTTCTACGAACGATTCTCAGTTTCGACGAAGATCAAGGCGATGGTGATGACCACCACGGAGCTGATGATCGACAGGCAGGCGTTGATCCGGAAAGTCAGGTCCCCCCTAAAAAAATTCCTGTTTTTTTAGTGATTCTTTCGTTTAAAATTCCGAAAAAAACTCAGCAGTTGTTTTTTTAAAAAGTCTCACAGTCCCCCGAAAACAAAAATAATAGAAGCTCATTTTTTTAAAAATTTTTTTACTTTTTTTCGAATTCTGAAAAAGGCAATTTGATGAGATTTTTCCTAAGAGGGCCCTCCAGGGTACGTTAATTCCAAATTTTTTGATTTTTTGAGTTTTCGCATTATTTTTAAAAAAACACTTTTTTTGATTTTTCAAATTGCAAACTTTTTTTGGATCTAAACCAGTCAAAAATGCCTATTTTCTGCTTTTTAATAGGCTTTTAACCTCTAGAAGACGCCAAAAATTTCATTTAAAAATTTAAAGTGCGAAATTCGCAGCGTTAAAACTCTATTGAAAAGCTGAAAAGGTAATTTTTCTAATGTTCTTCGGTTTATGGTGCTCTCAAGTACCTTCCCGTCAAAACTTCGAAAATATAAGTATTCTTAATTTTCCCTGAAGCTGCTGTGAATGAACTTGTAACACAACTGAACTCAATTATTAATTAATTAATTAAAGTAGTTTTCTACTGATCTGGGAGCAAGTATTTGAAGTACCAAGGTTAAAAATTCTAAAAAATTAAGAATTTTTGTATTTGATTTGGTGAAAAGAAGGTGTTATTACAAACTAAACTAGGACCAAACTTTTTTAATATTTAAATATTTGTTTCACTCTGCTTTTTAACTTTTCTTTAACTTTTTCTGAAGGCTGCGCTGTCATTTTTCCTTATGGTTGAACATTGATTATTCTTCAAATTTTGCTTACAACTAAACTTTAATTTTTCAAAAATAAAAAAGGACTGACTTGGCGTTGACGAACATGTTGATGAGGTTAAGGAGCAGGTTGGGCACCTGGCTGGACAAGGTCATCGCGATTTGGAAGTTGTTGGAGTATTCGGCCTGTTTCAGCACTGTCGTGTTCGTCTCGGGGTCGAAGACCGGCTCGAGGAGTTTGTGGTTGATGTAGTACTGTAACACATCCTCTTGGCCTCGATTAATGATAGTTATCTTGGAAATTCAGGTATTTTCGAGTGAATGAATTTTCGGAATGGATGAAGCTTTCTGCCCATCTTACGGCTTAAAAATAAGCCATTTTTTCCAAGTTTCCCCTTCTCGGAAAATTTTTTAGTGGCCCCTTTAAGGTTTTGTCGGTTTAGGGGCCACTATAGTAGTCAAATTAGTGGACCCTTGAGTGTCAAAATTTTAGTGTCCTTTCAAGAATACTATGTAGTTCTACTAGACCCTTAAAACTACTATAGTGGCCACTACGACGCAAACGTTCATAGGTGTTTTTAGTGGCCACTTGATTGCTCTCTCTATCTATGAACCCCTTAAGTGACCACTAGAGATTTTCGCAGTCCTGCAAAACACTCTAACATGGGGAGCCATTTCCGAAAACTGCGGTAAAATGCCAAAAACGGGCTTTTACGGGCCCACCAGCTGAGAGCCCGTGTTAGGGTTCACCCAGCAGGAAAACTTATGCCGTGTTCAATTTGATCAAACTGAAAAAATCAAATTGAACACGACATTATGATTCTGATGAATTAAGCACAAACATCGTAGCTGATGTTGAGGAACATGTTCCAGGGCATGAGGATGCCGATTCCCTGCAGGAGGATCAGGTAGTAGGCGAGGTTGGACGAGTCGCGGATCTTCCGGTCGGAGGCCAAAGTCGTCGGCTCCTCGACGACGGGCGGGAGCGCCGCTTCGCGCTCCTTGCTCAGGCTTATCGACATCGGCGGGTTCTGCGAAATAAAAACTATCAAAAAACGATTAAATTCAAAGCGTCTACGTTTACAGGGCGTTCCCGAACGGGCTGAGAGAACGTCCAAAAAAATTTTGGCGCGAAATGTGAAATCTCAAGTACGCAGCCAAATGGGGAGTTCATTCCGTTCAATACTCAGTTTAATTTGCAACGATGGGTAGCTGTGACGTCACAGTCCTTTTATCTGAAGCGCGCACTCACTTTTTTTGTAAATTCAGAAACTTTGACGCCTCGCTCACCTTCTTTTCACCCCATTAGGAATGCCGTGGTTTACTGCGAAGCTAGAGGGAAAAAAAAAGCCAGCCATCTCTTTTTTCAACGCTCTCTACATTAAGAATATAGTCAATTTTTCCGGACTTGAAAGGCGGGACGCGTAGCGTGTGCGTTCGCGGTTCTTGCCACGAGTTCAATTCAACCGCCACTGACTATTTAAAAAGTCCGTTCGCCGCTCTTTTTGTGTCTATCACGCATGTTTAAGACAGGGCTACGGCGGCCGGTGGAGCCAGGAAATTTTCTTTTTCGTATATTGTTAAGGACCTATTTCTTGAGGTTACAAGATAAGGTACGTCTCAAAAAATACATTCGCTTTTATTTTATTACCGAAAAACGTACCCTGACTACCGTAATCCGACCGGCCGCCTTGAGCAGTCGTGCTATTCTACTATTTTTTGCAGAAAAGAAAAATAAATGAATAAATAACCAAAAAGAAATGAAAAGAGCGATAAACTAACTCTCTGAAAGCGGTTAAATTGAACTCGCGCCAAGAACCGCGAACGCACACGCTACGCGTCCCGCCTTTCAAGTCCGGAAAAATCGACTGGTTGGCATGAATGCGAGGTCTTTGGCGGTACACTGACGATACCGCAAAATTACTGCTTCTTAGCCGCGACATCGCGTTTCACAAATTTCCAAGTTTATTAGTGCGTGATAAATGCGATATCGCGAGTCCAGCGCGGGGACAAAGCGACATCGCTCTTCTTTCGAGCCTCGAGCATTCGGACGTGGAATTAAAGAAACGCGAAGGAAACTTCTCTCGGAGGAAATATCAAGTATATTTTTTTAAAAGACTTTTGGAGCTAGGGCGAAACGGGAAAGCTCGATAGAATCTTTTTTTTTAAAGAGCTACAAGGATCAATAACAGATCCCCCCAAAAAAGATTTAATAGGACCCTCTGAGTCTATGAAAAAGACATTTTCTTATGTTTTCGGAACTTTCAGCTCCTTCTGAGGGCCCCCAAAAGAACCTTTCAATTTTACCTATGGTAACATTTCCCAGCCACAACCTTAAAAGTCATTGAAAGGGCAAAATTGTCGATCTTAAAACTATCTGAACCGTGAATTATGCAGCAAATTTGCCGTTTAATGATCCTGAAACCGACGTTTATTCAGGTCCTAAAACTTCAAAAGCTCAGGTTCATAAAAATGGTGAGAATCAGTCAAAAACTTTTTTATTGCTAGGATTGTTCAAATTTTTGAAAAATATTCGGTAATGAGTGCCCTTTAGTAGATGAAAGAAAGGATACTCAAATTAATAGTTAGGAGGAGAGGGGGAATAGAGGATCCCAGTCAAAATGAAAGGGATCAAAAAAAGAAGACGACCGGCTGGCAACCGTCCGAGCACCTGCAATGCACGAGTCTCGCCCAAAAAAGAGGCGGGGCGAGCAGATGCGATGGTAAACCAAGACAAAAAAAGAACGCCCAACGGTTTTTACACTGCAAATGGGACGTCGCGTACGAATGTCAACGTTACGGTACGATTGGTTTTGCAGAATGTCTAAAAATAAATGCGGAGGGTTTTTGGAACAAAAAATCTTGCGGGCTGTGCAAAAAAAAATCTTCGTTCGCTCTTTTTGAAAAGAAACAATCGTCAATTTGTTCGAATTCGGAAAGAAATAAAGCCAGTGCAACGCTGTTTTAAAGTAATTTAACAACTTATATCTGAAAAAAAAAAAAATTCGACCAGATCAAAGTTTTTCAACTTTACGGTACGATTGGATTCGCAGATCGTCTAAAAAATAAAAGCGGAGGGTTTTTGGAACAAATAATCTTGCAGGCTTTGAAACCGGGTTGTACAAAAAAGGTTTGCGGATGAACCAACGAATTAAAATTTCTGAAAGAGACCACTCTTTTTACAGAAAATAATAAATAATAAATGATCAGGGAGCAGTTCAAAAATAAAAACTGAGCTGCTCTCTTTTGATAAAAAAAAATTTCCGTTTCTCATAACTTCCGTAAAGCTGTTTTTGAGCTTTTTGAAAGAAAAACAGGCGCAATCTATTTAAATTATTCTCCGAATTTCTCTTCCATACGCATTCAAATTCACTGTTTTCGAGAAAAAATTCCTCTTACAAAAACTTTTACTCAAGTGTAGTTGTGCAAATCTTTTCCGTGAAACAACCACAAAAAACTTTTATATAAGCGAGAATAGTCTTTTTCAACATGAGAAAACTTCAAATATTAAAGAAACAAGGGCAACGGAACATTATTTGAAGAAATTTAACAACTCAAATCTGAAAAAAATTATTTTTAAAGCCTAACATAAGCCGTCCTTCGCCAAATTCGGTACTTATTCTTCGAAAAACCACAAAATTATTTCCAAATTTGACCGGTTTTATAGAAATTTTAAGAAAAAAATCTTGATATAAACTGAAAAACTTTCAAAAATATAATCTCTTTGTACAATAATTTTAAAAAAGTGAACATCAGGAGCAAATAAACTCCAACTTTGACACCGAAAAGTGCAAAGCTGTAAAAACTGGGCTCACCAACTACTTTACTCAGATAAGAAGCTACAAAACGTCTACTGCTCCTCAAAAAAAAATGATAAGAAACTGGCAAAAACTTCTTTTTTTTTTCTTATTTATCAACCAGTACGATTTCGTGGAAAAAGGGGGATTTTTATCGTTTATCAGAAGCGAAAATCAAGACGGTTTCGTGGAAATGTCGCGACGGACGACATTTACTCGGGGAGCACTTTGTTTTCTTTTTTTAGATTTGAGTCATTGAAAGATCGTGGCGAAGATAAAAGTCGTGGGATTCACGGTGTAACCTTTTTAACGTTTTCTTTCCAAAGTTCTTTCTTTCGAGAAATACAGGAAAAAAGTTCGTACGCCACAGTGTAATAAATTGGGACAATGGTGGGAAAACTTTGAAAAAAGAACAAAAAATGTGAGTTTGAAAATTAGGATCCTATTGAAAGAAAGTTATAATGAGGACTTCCTTATAGGAAAAAAAATTATCTTAGATCTAAAAAATCTCGTTTGAAAGAATTAAAATCTCCAAATACTGCCGGAACGATGTGCCTTTTTTGTGCCAAGTCACATTTATGAATATTAAAATTCAAATCAAAGAAGGTTTTCATTCCTGAAGGCTCCTAAATTCAAAACCACGACATTGCGCCTGTTACGCGCTCCGAAAGAAGTTCAAAAGATGGCGTTGGAAAAAAAGAAATTCGCCGCAACTTTTGGGATTTCAAACGTCGGCCGCCGTTTTTCATCTACCGCGTGCTGGGAAATTCACGGTGCTGTGCAAACAAATTCAAATCTTACCTAAATTTCGAATTTAGGAAAGGAAATGAAGAAAAAAACTTTCGGTAATGAATAACAATTTTAGAGCTTCATGTCGTGTTCAAAGTGATTCCGCTAAATAAAAAATAATCGAGAGAGAACGACAAATTTAACCAAAGTTTGAAAAGTTAGACACAATTTTGAATTTCGCGGGAATTACTTTAAAAACGGCATCAGCTTTCAAAAAAATCTAAATTCAACAAGATAAAAAAAAGCTCGATACTTGGGTTAGCAGCAAAATATTTGCCAAAACAACTTGCGCCGGAAAGACACAAACAAAAATAGGAGGATAATGAGCTATGTGGTCGGTCCGATTGCGTCATTAGAGCATGTTCGTGATGAATAGTGGCTATTAAGTTGTATAAAAATTGAACAGTTCAAAAAAAAAAAGGTTTTTAACCTTTTCAAAAAAAAAAGTGAAAATCGACAAGCTAAAGTTATTCAAGCTTTACAGAAAAATCCATAGAAAGCTGATTTTTTTCTTCTTTTTAAAAAAACACATAAAAGGTCAAATTTGTGATAAAACGCATGAGAACAAAATAAAAATTCTACGTATTTTTCTCCTATAATTTACGTAGAACCGAAAAAGCACGCGCCTACAATTAGTTCTTAAAATTAATGATAATTATCTTAAGGAAAAAAATAATAATTTTTTTAGGATTCAAACTCACAGACCCTTCCTTCTAATTTTCCCGCCCAAAAAAACAGCTCGAAAGAAACACGTGCTACCACATATGTCATGTATTCGATTACAAAAAGGCGGCACAAAAAAGGCGAAAAAGTATATAAACAAAAAGAAAAAGTGTTGATCCGCGGGTGCAGATGTGTTCAAAAGGTTGGCGCGAAAAAGCCTTTCGACTCGCCCATGTGTGCAGCACTTGTGCAGAACAATGCACCCTTCTCGCAGACCGTAAATTATACCGAAAATGTTTATATCGAAACCCGATATTGCGGCTTCTTTGTGCTATTGTGAGACTTTGAGCTTTCGATTTCATCTCACATCAACTCGTAATTGAAGCTTCTGAAAAAGTTGAATAAAAAGTCCAGCTTGAAAAAATGATAATAACGAAGCCCATCATCTCATTTCAAAAGTCATGACAAAGTTTGATGTCAGTTTTCTTTTCATATTCTTCCAAAAATCTGAAAATTTAGCCTAAAAATCTACTGGGGATCATTATTCTGATATGCGTTATTCAAAGTAAGCCTGATCGAAATATAATTAGTATTGTTAATTTCAGCATCTTACGAGGATTGTCTGACTGGCTGGTTTGCAAAAAAAGATTATTGCCTGAAAGTAAGAAGTTTCCACAAAAATGGATCAGTTTTTGAGGACTTCATGAAAATTTTCAGTTATCACCAAAACCAGAGCGGCGAAATCTGGCCATGCTGAAATGTAGAAAGGAAGGCGGAGAGCTGGCTGGATGGCCTGAAATTAATCTCAATAGTTTGTGATTTTTTTATATTTTTCGGAAAAAGTTCTAGAAAAAAAGAAAAGATTTCAATTTCAGTCAGCGAAAAAAATGTCAAATTTTTCTTGAATTGGATATTTTTTTCTGCGCTTTTTTCACTTATCCAGTTGAGCCCACCTCTCGCCAGCTTGTCAAGAATTTTTCCGAACCACAGAATCCTTCCTTTCGATGCGCAGGGTCGACATATGTGCATGCGCCTTTAATATAACGAAATTTTGAGCCGAATTTAAAGGCGCATGCATAGAGACAGGTCGTTTATGCGTATATTTATGCATCCGCCTTCAGCTTGTCACGAATTATATATATTTTTTTCCAATCTGCATAACCCTTCCTTTCGATGCGCGTGGCCCGTCAGTGTGCATGCGCCTTTCACATACCGGCCATTTCTAGGCTAATTTAAAGGCGCATACACAGAGACAGGCTGCGCGCATTGAAGGGAAGCGTGCTGTAGCTCAGAAAAAAAATTGTCAAAATGAGCCACAAAAGATTTAATTATTCTCAGGCATCAGTCGTTATTTCACGGAAGCTTGGATCGGCCTGTACAGAGAGGATGACGTGATGTTTTCGAGTTAAATTTCGAAAATTTTTGAATTTTTCCTCTTTTAGTTCAAACAAGTTAGGCTGCAAATGGGATTCTGAAACTTCCAATTCCACCGCATTTTTGGATTGTCCATCGGATCGTGCTTTTCATTGTTATGCGGTGATTGAATCGATTTTTTTCAAAGATAAAAGTATTTTCCAGGTGAACGGGACTGGAATATTGAATAGTAAGAACTGTACCACCCTGCTTCCATATTTTTGCAGCTACAAGCCAGGTTAATTTGAAATATTGAATTTTGTGAAAAAAAAAAGAAATTATATTTTCAGCAGCGGTCTCATCTGGAGGAATCGTGAGTGATTTCGACAATTTTTGTGGAAAAAAGAGCTTCGGAAAAGAAAATTTAGAACTGCGACAGTGATATCGAAATCACTACGGTGGAAAAAATGGAGCTTCTCAATTGCGAGACTATTTATGGATCTTTGATCATACGTAATGTTGAAGGTAATCAAGCATTATTCTCGGGCAAAGTCGGAATGGTGTATAATGGCTGCTAAAAGGGAGAGGCTCAAAAAAGGCCGCAGACAGGCAGCAAAAAGGCAGCGAACGGCAGCAAAAAGGCAGCGAAAGGCAGCAAAGAGACTCCCTTTCTCGAGCCTTCCATTTTTCTGGGATTTTAAAGGCTCGAGAAATGGTGGAGAAAGGGAGAGGCAGCAAAAATGGTGCATAAGGGCGGAGAAAATGGAGCAAAAAAGCAGCAAAAAGAGAGCCTTCATCACCCTAAAAGGAACATTTCTATGGTACTTTATGGACCCTCGGAGGGTCCTTCCGACTTTGCCTATGTTTGGAAATCGGGCTTGAAGGTCGTCATTACGCGGTTTATCTTTGTTGAGATTTTTTCCTAAAACCACTTGAACTTTCAATTTTGCGTTTTTCGCTAAATCATGATAAACAGAAAACACGCAGAATTGAAAATCGCAGAAATAACTTTGAATAGGTTTCAACGCCATGACTTCACTAACACTAAGAATAACTGACGAGATAAACGCGAGCTCGGTGGCGGTACATTGACTTACTCGCAAAAATGTCGCTTTTTTCTAGGCGCGACCCCGCATTTCTCTCGGCGCGACCTCGCATTTTTCTCGGCGCCATCTCGCATTTATCTCGCACTTCGGAAATTTTCAAATTGCGAGAGAAATGCGAGCTCGCGCCTAGAAAAATGCGAGCTCGCGCCCAGAAAAATGCGAGACCGGCGCGAGAAAAAAAGCGAGATGTTTGCGAGCTCGTCAATGTACCGCCAGTGTCTCGCGTTTATCTCGGCAGTTATTCTTAGTGAATTTAAAACGGCGTGTTAGTATGTGACTTTGCGTAGAGTGCATGCACCAAAACATTTTATTTTACGAGCAACTGAGCTTAAATTTTTAAAACTAAATTTTACTCCGAAATTTTCCAAATTTTACTGGAAATTTTTCAATTTCTAGCAACCGAAGCGTCGGCGTCATTTAAATCCGTGAAAGAGATCATTGGAGGCAGATTGGTGGTGGCAAATACGCGAGGAGTCACGGAAATCTCCTTTCCCAACCTCGAAACTATCATCAATGATGAAGACAGTGAGTTATAAGTGAGATTTCGAAGAAATAAGGAGGAATTTAGTTGATATCATTGCCCAATTATTTCGTTTCGTGTTTTCTGATTCATTTTAAAACAATAATCCTGAAAAAGAACGGTTTTCAAAAATATTTTTTGATTTATTTCTAGCTTCCTTTCTTTTTCTTTTCATTTCCTTTTGAATTTAGATTATGTCGAACCACGAAACTCTTATTTTTTTATTTTTCAGACCTCGATCCTCTGATTCAAATTTCCAACAACGATGATGCTTCTACATTTTCGATGCCAAGTTTACAAAAGGTAAATCTTAAATATTTCTTGAGTCAAAATATTCACTTCATGGAATCTCTGTCAAGGTTTTTTTAGATTTTTTTTTAAATTTTTTTTTTTTCTTTTTCAATTTTCAACCAGTTTGCGGGTCCATAATGACCCGTTTTTCATTGAATATGTAAATTCGTCGTGCCTACTATTATTACCGTTTCAAAGAAGGAATTTGTAAAATTAACCACTTTCTGTAGTTAGTTCAGGAGTTTTCGAAAAAAATATTCCGTTAACTAAAGGGGGAAAGCGCCAGGTGTCACGCTTATTCAAGGATTTATTTAGTGGTCACTTAAAGGGTTTTTTTTTTCGCTTCTCAAGGGTTTCAGGGGCCAGTTGACAGTTTGTGCTTTTCGGAAGAGCCTTTTGGGGATCACTTAAGTGATTTTAGCACCTTACGAGGATGTCAGGCTTCAGTTGAAAATTCAAGATTTTTCGAGAAATCTTTTAGTGATCACTCAAGTGATTTCAGGGCTTTCCTAGAGGCTCCAGTTGACAATCCAGACTTTTCGGAGAAACCTCTTAGTGACCACTTAACGCATTTTAGCGCTTTTTGAGAATGTCAGGCTCCAGTTGACGACTCACAAATTTCCGAAAAATCTCTTAGTGACCACCTAAGTGATTTTTGCGCTTCTTAAGTGCCTTCTCGAAAAGACCCACCATGCTGAAAAATCCTCTGATTTTCCAGCTCGACTGCAAGCAAGCGGAGCCATGCGTCGTGATCCTGTCGAACCCCTCACTGTGGATATCTGCAGCTGAGGCGGAAAAAATCGAAAACCTCGCGACAGATGTCTACACCGTCTACATCGAGCATGCCAACCTTGGCAACATTTTTTTGGGTGCGAAATGTTTTTCATACGCTTTCAAATGTGACCCCAAAAATGGGCGGAGCTCCGGCGAGCACATGTGTGCCCCATTGACAAAGGCCTGTATAACAATGGTTTCGGCTTCCTTTCACTCTTTGTCTTCTTTATTCTGATTAGAAAGAAGGACTTTCCAAGCTTCCAACCAATCTGGATTCATTGTCCCAAACTTTAGGAAGTTTTTTTTTTCGGATTTGAATCGAGGTTTTGAAGTTATTTTTCAAGATTTTAGGTTTTTGAGTCACGAAATGAATTATCATGTAGCTGAAATTCCATTGAATTTTTTTTCAATGGAGTCCAGCAAAATAGTTTTTTTAAACTTTTGAAGCCGTTTTTTTCATTAGTTTTAGTCTTTTTTTCAATCTTTTTTTCTTCTTTTTTTGATTTTTTTAAGTGGATTTAATGAAAGTAGGAAACAATCTCTAAAAAAATAACCTCTAAAAAAAATGGAAAAAAAGTAAGAAAAAAATCGTTTTTAAATTTAAATATTTTCTCACGCAAAAAAACTAATTTATTAAATGATTTTTTTCGAGAGTTTCGGGAGCCACAATAAGTAAGCAAAGTGAAAGAAGATGATAAAAATGTCGAAAAAAAAGAAAAATCTAACAAAAACTTTTTTGGATTTTTTTCAAGTTTCGGAATCACTAATTCGACTGTTCCGAAACCCTAAAAAGGCCACGGAAAATTTCCTTAAAAAGGTCAAAAATGCGATTTCAGTGGTTGCCGTCGCGGTGTTCACCGTCCTTTTGGCCGTCCTCATCGCGCTTTTTTTCATCACAGCTTCTCGAAAAATTGCCAAACATGGATGTTTATAAACATTCTTCCTTTCTCTGTTTTCCCTCTCTGTCGCGAAACTCCTTCAAATTGCCCATTAATGATTCATTCGAATGGATTTTATTGATGTGAACGGAATTTTTACACTTTAGAGGGTTCAGTACAATTTTACGATGTTTTGAGACTTTTCGATAGTTTTTATTTCTTTTTTCAGACTGAGCTTCGAAAAAACGGACTTTAGCATGTCCTGAAGTTGTAAAATTTCGTTAAAAAAATATTTTTGTTTATTTCATTAATTCCAAAAGTGATTTTCTGCTTGGAAAATCATCGAAAAGTGATTTTCCGCTTGAAAAATCATCGCTGCTCGGAAAATCATCGAAAAATGGATTTTTATAAACTTTCCACATATGGAATGGCTCAAAATGCGGCGGTTTCTTCATAGCCGTTTTTATGACTCATTGCGCAAGTCGTTTTGAGTCGGCCGCACTTTGAAAAATATGTTTTAACAGCCACGTACTGTTAATTCAGAGTAAAATGAACAATTTCAAATCTTCCTCAAAAAAATTTTATAATTCCATTATTTTTTTGCGAAATTTTTCTCGAGGCTCCCAGTCAATTTTGAAGGAAAGTTCTTTTATTTTTTTCCAATCAAATGAAAAAAATATTCCATTCTCCCACTCTCGAATCATCATTCCCATCAATTTATTCTCATGCCCATTAATATTGATCACGATTTTTGGCGTATATTTTCTCACAAATCTGTCCGAAATGCCTCGAAAACGGACGATATTGTTGAGAAATGGCGGAAGGGCCGACGGGGAGCGGAGGAAAAACGTTCAGAAACGCATTTTCGTCCATTTCGCCTTTTTTCGTCCCCAGTTTTTTTGATTTGTTGGATTTTCCGGTCTTCGGATGGTTTTTAACATTTTCTTATTGTCTGGATTCCATTTTTCGCTTTTTCCTCGTCTTTTTTGGCTCATTTTCTCGTTTTTTGATGATAAATTTGAACCTTTATTGTTTTTCCACATCGCTTCAAGACCCTTTTCTCAAAAATTCCTTTGATACATTTTTTAAAGGAACATTTAATACAAAATTCGATTTGAAAGTCAAAAAAAAAAATGGATTTTTCATAATTTTTCGGCTCCGATCGACGGACTTTGTTTCATTGATCTGAAAAATATCCAAAAAACATATTTTTCTCCAAAAGTGACTCATAAAATCAATTAGGAGCCCGAAAAATCAGAAAAACAGTTTTCTCCGAAAGCTGACTCACTGGGAAAAACTCTAGTGACCTCTTAAAAGGTTCCTTGGAGATAACACTAAAGTGACCACTAAAACCATCACTATTTCGCGTCTTAGCGGCCACTATAGTAGTTTTCAGTCCTGTAGGAGACATCTCTCTATTTTTAGCCACTTAAGAGGCTATCATTCCGACTTCTAAAAGGACCAATAAAACTTCTAAACCCCTCAAGGGGCCACTAGAAATCAAGAAAATGTTTTTCAACTCGATATTTATTGCGAAATCCGTTCCCACGCGATCGATCTTTGCATTTGAATTGCGAAAGTAGACAGCTTTCAAGTCTTATTTTTGTTCTTCTTCAAGTTTTTCACTTTGTTCTAATCGTTTTTCGAGCTTTTCCACACGAATTTCAGGGAAAATCAAGCTTATGACAACCGGAAAAACTCCGTCGGCTACGGAAATCGGTATAAAAGCGTCCGAATCATAAAGATAATAAAATTTAAGGCCCGAAAACTGAGGCCGTACCGCCCGAAAAAGCTGAAATGGAGCAAAAAGCCGACGAGAACCAAGGTAGGCTGAATGGGGCAGTGGCTAAGATTCCAGCCTTCCGCTGACGGGATCAAGGGATCGGTCCCCATCCAAGTTTTTGTACCTTTTGAAACTTCCAGACCCAAAAACCGATCTCAAAACAACTGCCGATGCTGGAAAGGACCAAAAAGTCGACGAGAATCAAGGTTTGCGTTTTGGCGCAGTGGTTAGGAGCCTTGTCTTTCATTAAAAGGGTCATAGGTTCAATCTCTTGGGAGCTTTAAAATCAATTTTTTCAGCTCTTATCCGATTCTTAGGCAGATTAGTTTTTTTTTTTTCATTTTTTCAAAATCATCCGCATTATAAAGATCTGGTCCGAGACCCGAAACTCGACGTTGAAAAAACTGAGAAGCTCACATGGAAAAAGGGAAAAACAGCGAAGGTAGGCCTTTTGGAGCAGTGGCTAAGGCTCTGGCTTACAACTAAAAAGGTCAAAGGATCGAACCCTAAAGGGATTTTTGCAGTGTTTGCAAAAGAAAAGATTAATTTCAACCATCCGTACTTTGAAGACCAAGTTTTAGACCCGAAAACTGACCCCCGGACAACCGACAACGTTATTGACGAATCTGAGATGGAAAAGCTGAACGGAAACGAAGGTAAGCCTTCTGGTGCAGTGGCTAAAACGATCGCTTTTCGTTCTAAAGGTCTAGAGATCGATCCCGGCAAAGCATTTGTGGGAAAACATTTTTTTTTTTGCGGGTTTTCAACTATTTTCTTGAAGCAAATCGCCTCTTTTGTTTCATTTCAACCGTCCGAACTTTAAAGATACGTTTTCAGACTTGAAAACCGACCCTGTGACTGCCGGAAAGATGACTGCTGACGATGACATGGAGCAAAAAGTGAACGAGAACATTGGTATGCTCTCTGGCACAGTGGCTAACTATCTAGCTCTTCGCTGGAAAGGTCAAGGGTTCGAGCCCCATCAACGTTTTTGCAGCCTTCGAAGAGATCGACGTCAACCATTCGCTTCTCCGCCTGACCTCTTTCGACGTGAAAAGCCCCCTCGCCTTGAGTAGCACCACGATTACTGAAGTAATTCAAAAAATCAATATTTCGTAAATTTTTGGTTAAGCCGACCGACGAATCCTTGCGCCAATGGGTCCCTCTGGAAGTCCTGCCCGACGATCAAAATACGGCTTTGTTGGCTCAACTCGCTGTGGGTTTTGATAAAATGGCTGTTGGGACCTGAATAATCCTAATCTCCTTGAACCTGAAAATTAAGTATTTTTCACAGTTTTAGACGAAGACTCATGAAAATAAGATTTTTTATGGGTTTAGGAAATTATTGGAGGAGCCTTACCTGTCGAGAAACAAGTGAATTTTCAAAAATAAGGTTTTTATGAATTTCAAAGACCAAAATGCTCTAGAAAATTTGAAAAAAGTTAAAATAAGTATATTCGAACTCTCGGGACGAAAAAAAAGTCTCAAAGTTATAAAAAGGTTTTTTAAAAATTGCTTCCGTTTCAAGGAGCAAGTTTCTTGATTTTTGAAAACTGCTGCTTCTAGAGCCTCGAAAGCATCAGAATTCAAGTCCAAAAAAGCCAACATGATTTTTTTTTTTGAGCTTCTGAGCTCTCTTGAATAAAAATCAGTTTCAGACCTGCCGCCACAATTTCAAGGACAATGGACAGAAGTTGAAGAAGTCGACGTCTGTGGACTGGTCCGAGAAATTGTGTCTTCCTGAGGTGAGCTGGAACGTTCGAAAATCACTTTTGAAGAGTCCGATTCGCTTAATTGAATGTTGAAGTTCGGTTTTCAAAACTTAAGAGCCACCGACTCAATACGACTTGCGCTCTAGGGCGTCGAAAAGCATTAGAAAATGGTTCTAGATAGTTTTTCGATACTTTGAAACTATTCCAAGTTTCTCAAAAATTCTGGGGTTTCTTAGGAACGCCGGAGTGGTTCCTATAGGGATTAGGGACAACATAAAGCTCCCTATATAAATAAAATTAAGGTGGACCCTGTAGGGGCTCATGGTCTGACCCCTGAGCCCCTCAAGTGGTCCCTATAGAAGTTTTAAAAATTGGCGTAGTTAATCCACTGTTAATATTCTTTTGTGGGGAACTTTCAAGGACCTTCAAGGTCGCCCCTATAGGGATCCCTTCGGCGTTTCTAAGCTCTCTGAGGTTCCTCGCTTTTTCATGTGACCACTTGAGTTTTCATGACGATTTAATGGTGGTATGAAAAAAAGACCAGCGAAAATTCAAACGGCGACTTTTTCGATTTTTTCATATCGCTAGAGAACTTTCCGACGGCCACTTTTCCGACGGATCCCTTTCCGACTTTTTTCCCTTATCTTTTTTCGGTTTTTAAAACATCTATTAACATTTTTTTTCCTATTTCTTTGTGTTTTAATCATCAACCAACTACCTACTTTATGTAGGAATATTTATAACGAAGATTTTATCGAGAAAAAAAATCGGAAAAAGATTCGTCGGAAAAGTGGCCGTCGGAAAGTTCCCTAGCGATACGAAAAAATCGGAAAAGTCGTCGTTTGAATTTTCGCTGGTGTTTTTTTCATACCACCGATTTAATGTATTTTTCAAGCTTTTTTTGAGCTTATTCCACTTCATTTTGATCAGAAAATGATGAAAAATCAACGATGAGAAAATTTCAGAAAAAGAAAAAATCGATCAAAAGGTACACTTCGCAACACGCTTCCGTGAACAAAACTGACGCTGAAATCGATCTTTGGCATCGGGTTTTTTGGAGAATTTTTTGAAAAATATCGATTTTTCAGACTTTCAACGAACTCCACAAGAACCGGACCAACGCTGAGAACAAACGAATGGTCGGTTTTTTATTTGGGGGTCTAAGAAAAATGGATAAAAAAGGTTACGGTAGTAGGGTTGGACGCAATTTTCGCAATTTAGTTTTTTAAAAAGCTTCCGAAATAGTTAAATATCAGCTTATTTCCCTACTTCTTTGTTTCTGTAAGGTCTTGGACGCACTTGGAAAGGTTGAATGCGGCGCGGTCGCGTCGCGGCTCGAGATTCTCTTGCTCTCGCGCGCGAACCGTTTCGGGTCGAGCGCAATTGTTCAACGTTGATTCATTCTACCTACGACCGTTTTTAAATTAGGGTCTTGAAACGATACGTGATTATAAAAATTTATTTAGGGAATTATGGTAAAAAAAAAATATTTTTTGAGTAAAGTTCATGATTCAAAAAAATTCATCTTATGGGTTTAAATATAATTTTATCAAAATTCTTGAAAAATCTCTGAAATATTAATCAAAACTCGGATGAAAAAACGGGAATCTTCATTTTTCAGGGCAAAATTCTGAAGGATGAGCCGGTTTGGAGCGAGCCCGAGAGCTCATCTCCGACCGATAAGTTGGCCCCGGTCCAAATGACCGTCACGTCGACCCACTCAGCTCCTGATCCACAGGAGCTGGAGGAGCTCAGAGATCAAATGACCGAGTTGAAACCGGTTAGAAAGGTAAATTGGGGAATCGATAGAGTTTTGATGAGAAATTCAAATTATGTTTCCAACTTCAAAGCAAAAACTATCAATTTGAAGCTCAAATTGATAGTTTCACAGAGATTTTTTCATTTTTGAAGCATTTCGCGACGTTATCAAAACATGATAACGGGACAAAAACACAAAATTTGCACACTTGAACCTTGAAAGTGCACCGAAAATGAATTTTTAAATATTTTGAGCCATCTTCTGAGCATTTTTGTGAATTGTCAACAAAGTTTGTATTGGAAAACAGAATCGAAATGCAAGAATTTTTTAAAGGAGTTTGTATTAGCTTCGAAAAAAGAGTTTTTCTTTAGTTATTAGACATTTTAAGACATTTTTTGACATCTTGTGACATTTTGAGGACATTTTGAGACATTTTAAGACATTTTGTGACATTCTCAGTTATTTAGAGACATTTTCAATCATTTTGAATCATTTTAAGACATTTCGAGGCATTTTGTGACATTTTGAGGACATTTTGAGACATTTCGAGACATTTCGAGACTCTTTGAGGCATTTTGAGGCATTTTTAGACATTTTGAGACATTTCGAGATATTTTTAATCATTTTAAATAATTTTAAAACATTTTGAGGCGTTTTGTGACATTTTGAGGACATTTCGAGACATTTAGAGACATTTCGAGACTCTTTGAGACATTTTGAGGCATTTTGAACCATTTTGAGACATTTTAAGACATTTCGAGACATTTCGAGACTCTTTGAGGCATTTTGAGGCATTTTTAGACATTTTGAGACATTTCGAGATATTTTTAATCATTTTAAATAATTTTAAAACATTTTGAGGCGTTTTGTGACATTTTGAGGACATTTCGAGACATTTAGAGACATTTCGAGACTCTTTGAGACATTTTGAGGCATTTTGAACCATTTTGAGACATTTTAAGACATTTCGAGACATTTTAAGACAATATGAGACATTTTGAGGCATTTCGAGGCCTTTTGTGACATTTAGAGGCATTTAGAGACATCTTGGGACATTTTAGGACGTTTTAGGACATTTTGAGACATTTTGAGGCATTTTGAGACATTTTGAGGCATTTTGGGGCATTTTGAGATGTCTTATTTTCTGATTTTACTCATTTTAGGAATTCAAAAAGAAGTTTCTATTGAGGTATCCACGAAAAAATGCAACAAAATAAATAACTATTATTATTAAAATGCCGAAAATTGCTGATTTTTTGCTCAAAATACCTGGGAAACAGTGCTTTTTTCGGGTTTTGAAACATTTCGAGTCATTTCTTGATTCGAAAAATGATGATGAAACAAAAATTCCAGCTCACCTTTGCCGTTACCGACGCCGCTAACTGGATTTTTGACGAGGATGTCCCGAAAAAGGAGCGCTTTCCGGAAGTTTGCTTCGAAATTTAGAAAAATAGACTTTTGGGAGATATTCCAGAAGAAGAAGCCCGCTAGAGCAATTATTCGATTTTCGATATTCACGACGCCAAAAATGGAAGTTCCGGATATTCCGGCGCCGCCGCCTCCAGATTCGCCGTCGACGTCTCGCAGAAGGAATTCTTTCGATCGGTATATTTTTTGATTTTTTGATTTTCACGGATTCAAATTTGCATTGTTATGAACCGAGTGGTCCCTAGAGAGATTACAGAAAAGATCCTCTTTAGGGGACAAAATAGTGCTCCCTAGAGGTGTTAAATTTAAGTGGTCCCTGTCAGTCTAGAATCTCAAAATACGGGAGTCTTTTAATTTTTTGTTTTGATATAAAAACGCTAAATCTTCCCCTAGAGTGATCACTAAATGGAATCCCTGGACTAGCCACTTTTTCAAGCTTTAGTGGGCCTTCAAAAGCTTCCCTCTAGGGGCCACTTTAAGATCCCCTAAAGGGGACGCTGAAGCTTGCCAATCGGGTTAGAGTAAAAAACTCTTCATTTTTCAAATCTGGACAAAAAATTGAAAGACCCTTCACGTCAGGTCTCAAATCCCTATAGGGATCCCTTAAATTTAGCCGTTTTTAACTTCTGTGAAAAGTTCTAGTGGCCTCTTAAGAGTCAGGGACTGTTTGAGATGACACTAAAGTGGCCACTAAAACCACCTCTTCAGAAGCCAATACTTTGCTTCTTAGTGGTCACTATAGTAGTTTATAATCGTCTAGTCGTACCAATTCGACTTCTAAAGTTAGCCCCTTAGGTGGCCACAAATTCGACCTATATAGTGACCACGAAAACGAAAAAACCCTAAAGTGGCCACTACAAAGTTTCCCAGTCGTTTCCAAGCTTTTCCCTCGAATTTTTTACTTTTTTCAGGGAAAATTCGATTTTCAGATCGTTCAGCTTCGCCCGGAAGAGGTTCTCCAGCACGGTTCAATACTTTGTCAACAAAATTCAAAGAGTTAGTTTTTGCCCCCCATTTTTTCGAGGATTTGACAAAAAAGAGGAAGTGAGGCTCGAATGGCCTTGACGTCATCACTTCAAATGTGCTCCATGGATGAAGGGCTCGAATTTCGTTCCTAGGTGCCATTTTTATGAGTTTGAATTGGGCTTATTACTTTCTTTGTACATTGAAAGTTGGTAGAGAAGTATGGCTTTTGGACCAAATTTTTTCTTTTTGGTTTTTTCGAAATGAATTTTGGACTGAGCTTCTTCTTCTTCTGAGTCAAAAATTGATGAAATTGCCGAATCTTCGCAAAATTTCAAATTTGTGTCACTAAAATGAGCTTTTTTGGGGCCTGTATTATCTTTAAAATCAGCATTTAGCCTGGATTTTTGTACTTTGAACTTTGAACTTTGATAAAAAGTTTGTACTTTGAACTTTGGACTTTGGTAAAAAATACGAGAATTAATTAAAACTGTATTTTTTTAATGGGACTTTTTTTATACCTTCAAAAAAAAATTTTTTTGGATTTTCCAGGGGTTAAACTTGGGTTAATTAGTTTCTTCGTATATTGAACCTTCATAGGAAATATGGGGTTTATTGATTCAATTTGTCTAATTTTTGGATACCTTTTTAAAAAAATGGAATAATCGACTAATCTTTTTTTTCAAATGAGAAATGAGGGCTCGAAGTTCCGAAAAAGGCTTTTTAAAAGGTTTTTAGAGCTCTCTTTGACTTTGAGAGGTCTTTTTTCAAAAACTAGGAAGTTTTGCAGATTGAGACTTCTCCAATCTTCTTCTGGTACATCGAGAAGTACTCTAGAGTCTCTAGCCAATTTTCAAGAAATTCTGAACCGAAAACTAAAATCGGTAATCTTACCCAAAATTGCACGTTTTTTGGAATTTTCGGGTCTTAGATGGAAATTTCACCTAATCCATGTTTGGCTCAATAGATACAGTATTTTTTGTGGTTCTGATAAAAACAAGACAAAACGCCGGACCGCAACGTTATATACTGGTTTTGATTCTATTGAGAAAAATTCTTTAATATGAGCAACAGTGAGCAAAATTGAGATTTTAGATTTTTATAATTTGAATAAAATTATTTTGCACCTCATTACAAACTGGTTGAGTTTCGTTGGATTTTTGTCGAGATATTGATTTTTGAAGCTTTTCACCGTATTCTTTTGAGCTACCGTATCTCAAAAACGGCTCGAGTGACGATTTTTTTTTTTTCAAAAAATCCTAAAAATCGTTTCTACAACATATTTGATTTACAAGGGCTGTGTGCGCGGTGAACATCGAGTTATGAATTGAGGCTTTCATGGTAGATGGACCTAGGGGAGAGTGCTCCAAAACGAAAGAGAAAATCTGCTAAGCGCCATAGGGTACCGAGAAAAAGCTCGTCAAAGTTTTGCCGCCACGTATATGCCCGCACTCGATAATAGAGTGTAGAAGAATTGAAAAAACAAGAGCAAAAAAGTTTTCGCGTCAAAAGGAATCGAACCCAGCATAGCGTCAGCGCCATTCAAGGACACTGCCACTTCACCACGCTCCCAGTTGCTGGCTGAGCACTCCGAGCGCGGACATATACGTGGCGGCAAATTTTGACGAGCTTTTTCTCGGTACCCTATGGCGCTTAGCAGATTTTCTCTTTCGTTTTGGAGCACTCTCCCCTAGGTCCATCTACCATATAAAGCCTCAATTCCTAACGCGATGTTCACCGCGCACACAGCCCTTGTTAGAGAAAATTTCACCATAACGCTCATTTTTTTTTTTCAACTCAGTTTAAACCCAAATGGCGCAGAACAAGTCTGCGCCTAATTACCTCCTTGTGAGGTTGAGAGATACCTTTCCGAAAGCTTCAAAATTGATGCGCGAATCGGTCACCTGAGCCGCTGATCACTTGACCACCGCCGAAATTGTTAAACTGCGGCCGTTTCGGACAGCCGTCTGGTCCATTACGTCCGTCGCGTTGTCTCTTCCGTGCGCGACCTCTTCTTGTTGATTTTCCCATAATCCGACGGGCGGTTTCGAGGTCATTTTGCCCCGGTCGTCCGTCCCTCAACTTCTTCATGATCCTTCTTGACTCGTTCAGAAGCTTCTGAGGTCACTTTTAGTTCGATCTGGTTTCGCTTTTTTCGAAAAGAAGTTATTTTGATTGCTAAATTTTAGAGGCTTCTAACATTCTGAGCGTTTTTTTCAATCTGTTTTCATCACTTTTTCCAAGGCAAAAAAATTTTGCACCAAGAAAGATTCGAACCTGCATCATTGTTTCCATAGTGCAAGGACGCTAGCCACTACACCACGCCGCCTTCTGGCATCCAAAGTTAGCCGCCGCAATAGATTCCCTCCTTCCATCCAATACGTTTTGGCATGTAAATTTTGAGGCGCCATAACTCGATTAGAACCCAAAAGAAGCAATTTTTCTTAATTTCTATGGATTCAGGGTGTTCTAACGTATCTCTATACCTAGTTCCATGGAATTCCAATATCTCTACCTGTTGCATTTTCCGTGTAAAGTCACCTTTAGTTCAAATATGATCCTCTGTGGCTTTTCGAGTTGTTTGGAAATGAAATAGTTGATTTGGTAGCTAAATTTTTAAAGCTTCAGAAGTCATTTTTATTTCAAATCTCGCCCTTTTTAAAAGTCTGAAGATCACTATTGTCCATTAGCCGTGGTTTTGAAGTTCAAGAGATGAAAATCGAGATGAGAACATTTTTTCAATGGTAAATGGGTCAAAAAAGCCACCTTTTTTTCAATTTTTTGACCCAAGATACGATTTTTCAAAGTTCCTAGGGGTTCCTCTGTAGGGACTACTTTCCCAACCCCTGTAGGGGCCACTAAAGCTTGCGAAAGGGTCCCTTATAGGGGATAGAAGGAGCCTTCATTTTTTCGACTAGCATGTCCCCTATAGGGACCACTTTTGCAAGCTTTATTGGTCTCTATAAGGGATAGAAGGAGCCTTCATTTTTTCGACTAGCATGTCCCCTATAGGGACCACTTTTGCAAGCTTTATTGGTCTCTATAAGGGATAGAAGGAGCCTTCATTTTTTCGGCTATAAGTTATAGCAAAAAATTGCAATAGAAAAAATAAAAATTCATCTTTTTTGAATAAAATTGAGCGACCCCTATAGGGATCACTTAGGGGATGAGAGGTCAGACCTGAAACCCCTATAAAGACCACTTTTCGACCCCTGAAAAGCTGTTCTCCCCCCTACCCCCTATAGGGACCACTCTAAAGGTCTAAAAACCCTTTTAAGAAGTTTCAAGAGGATTCATTTCTTTAAAAAGGGTTTTTTTTTCAATTTTCAAGCTTCAAAAGACCGAAAAACTCTAGAATTTGTACTTTTTACAATAAAAACAGTAAGAATACAAAATTTTCTCTGTTAAAATTTAAAAGCTTCTAACATTTTAAGCGTTTTTTTTTTCATCATTTTTCCAAGAAAAAAAGTGGCAAAATAAAATTTGCGCCCAAAAGGATTCGAACCCGCGTGATAGCTTCCATAGTGCGAGGCCGCTAGTCACTACACCATGCCGCCTCCTGGCATCCAGAGTTAGCCGCCGCAATAGATTCCCTCCTCCCTTCCAATGCGTTTTGGGCATGCAAACTTTGAGGCGCCATAACTCGATTAGAACCAAAAATGAGCATTTTTTCTGAATTTCTATGGATTCAGGGTGTTCTAAAGTATCTCTATACCTAGTTCCATTAAATTTCAATACCTCGACTTTTTACATTTTCCGTGTAAGCACTAAGAATAACTGACGAGATAAACGCGAGCTCGGTGGCGGTACATTGACTAACTCGCAAAAATGTCGCTTTTTTCTAGGCGCGATCCCGCATTTTTCTCGGCGCGACCTCGCATTTTTCTTGGCGCCATCTCGCATTCATCTTGCATTTCAGAACTTTTCAAATTGCGAGAGAAATGCGAGCTGGCGCCCAGAAAAATGCGAGACAGGCGCGAGAAAAAAAGCGAGATGTTTGCGAGCTCGTCAATGTACCGCCAGTGTCTCGCGTTTATCTCGGCAGTTATTCTTAGTGAGGTTACCTTTAGTTCAAACATGATCCTTTGTGTCTTTTCGAGTTATTTGAAGATGGAATAGTTGATTTGGTAGCCAAGTTTTTGAAGCTTCTGAGGTCACTTTTATTTCAAATCTGGCCCTTTTTAAAAGTCTGAAGATCACTATTCTCCATTAGTCTTTGAAAATTCC